GATGAAGTAATCATCGCGAATTGGGTTACGATATACCATTCGAATCTCCATTAAATATAGTATATAATATACCAAGACGAATTATCCCCTATCAATATACAGTAAGTTATTTATGGATTAATAATTTTGGGTTATTTTTTTTGGCTGAAATTTTCAAAGTGGATTTGCCCGATGAAGTAATCATCGCGAATTGGGTTACGATATACCATTCGAATCTCCATTAAATATAGTATATAATATACCAAGACGAATTATCCCCTATCAATATACAGTAAGTTATTTATGGATTAATAATTTTGGGTTATTTTTTTTGGCTGAAATTTTCAAAGTGGATTTGCCCGATGAAGTAATCATCGCGAATTGGGTTACGATATACCATTCGAATCTCCATTAAATATAGTATATAATATACCAAGACGAATTATCCCCTATCAATATACAGTAAGTTATTTATGGATTAATAATTTTGGGTTATTTTTTTTTGACTGAAATTTTCAAAGTGGATTTGCCCGATGAAGTAATCATCGCGAATTGGGTTACGATATACCATTCGAATCTCCATTAAATATAGTATATAATATACCAAGACGAATTATCCCCTATCAATATACAGTAAGTTATTTATGGATTAATAATTTTGGGTTATTTTTTTTGACTGATATTTTCAAAGTGGATTTGCCCGATGAAGTAATCATCGCGAATTGGGTTACGATATACCATTCGAATCTCCATTAAATATAGTATATAATATACCAAGACGAATTATCCCCTATCAATATACAGTAAGTTATTTATGGATTAATAATTTTGGGTTATTTTTTTTGACTGATATTTTCAAAGTGGATTTGCCCGATGAAGTAATCATCGCGAATTGGGTTACGATATACCATTCGAATCTCCATTAAATATAGTATATAATATACCAAGACGAATTATCCCCTATCAATATACAGTAAGTTATTTATGGATTAATAATTTTGGGTTATTTTTTTTGACTGATATTTTCAAAGTGGATTTGCCCGATGAAGTAATCATCGCGAATTGGGTTACGATATACCATTCGAATCTCCATTAAATATAGTATATAATATACCAAGACGAATTATCCCCTATCAATATACAGTAAGTTATTTATGGATTAATAATTTTGGGTTATTTTTTTTGACTGAAATTTTCAAAGTGGATTTGCCCGATGAAGTAATCATCGCGAATTGGGTTACGATATACCATTCGAATCTCCATTAAATATAGTATATAATATACCAAGACGAATTATCCCCTATCAATATACAGTAAGTTATTTATGGATTAATAATTTTGGGTTATTTTTTTTGACTGATATTTTCAAAGTGGATTTGCCCGATGAAGTAATCATCGCGAATTGGGTTACGATATACCATTCGAATCTCCATTAAATATAGTATATAATATACCAAGACGAATTATCCCCTATCAATATACAGTAAGTTATTTATGGATTAATAATTTTGGGTTATTTTTTTTGACTGATATTTTCAAAGTGGATTTGCCCGATGAAGTAATCATCGCGAATTGGGTTACGATATACCATTCGAATCTCCATTAAATATAGTATATAATATACCAAGACGAATTATCCCCTATCAATATACAGTAAGTTATTTATGGATTAATAATTTTGGGTTATTTTTTTTGACTGATATTTTCAAAGTGGATTTGCCCGATGAAGTAATCATCGCGAATTGGGTTACGATATACCATTCGAATCTCCATTAAATATAGTATATAATATACCAAGACGAATTATCCCCTATCAATATACAGTAAGTTATTTATGGATTAATAATTTTGGGTTATTTTTTTTGACTGATATTTTCAAAGTGGATTTGCCCGATGAAGTAATCATCGCGAATTGGGTTACGATATACCATTCGAATCTCCATTAAATATAGTATATAATATACCAAGACGAATTATCCCCTATCAATATACAGTAAGTTATTTATGGATTAATAATTTTGGGTTATTTTTTTTGACTGATATTTTCAAAGTGGATTTGCCCGATGAAGTAATCATCGCGAATTGGGTTACGATATACCATTCGAATCTCCATTAAATATAGTATATAATATACCAAGACGAATTATCCCCTATCAATATACAGTAAGTTATTTATGGATTAATAATTTTGGGTTATTTTTTTTGACTGATATTTTCAAAGTGGATTTGCCCGATGAAGTAATCATCGCGAATTGGGTTACGATATACCATTCGAATCTCCATTAAATATAGTATATAATATACCAAGACGAATTATCCCCTATCAATATACAGTAAGTTATTTATGGATTAATAATTTTGGGTTATTTTTTTTGGCTGAAATTTTCAAAGTGGATTTGCCCGATGAAGTAATCATCGCGAATTGGGTTACGATATACCATTCGAATCTCCATTAAATATAGTATATAATATACCAAGACGAATTATCCCCTATCAATATACAGTAAGTTATTTATGGATTAATAATTTTGGGTTATTTTTTTTGGCTGAAATTTTCAAAGTGGATTTGCCCGATGAAGTAATCATCGCGAATTGGGTTACGATATACCATTCGAATCTCCATTAAATATAGTATATAATATACCAAGACGAATTATCCCCTATCAATATACAGTAAGTTATTTATGGATTAATAATTTTGGGTTATTTTTTTTTGACTGAAATTTTCAAAGTGGATTTGCCCGATGAAGTAATCATCGCGAATTGGGTTACGATATACCATTCGAATCTCCATTAAATATAGTATATAATATACCAAGACGAATTATCCCCTATCAATATACAGTAAGTTATTTATGGATTAATAATTTTGGGTTATTTTTTTTGACTGATATTTTCAAAGTGGATTTGCCCGATGAAGTAATCATCGCGAATTGGGTTACGATATACCATTCGAATCTCCATTAAATATAGTATATAATATACCAAGACGAATTATCCCCTATCAATATACAGTAAGTTATTTATGGATTAATAATTTTGGGTTATTTTTTTTGACTGATATTTTCAAAGTGGATTTGCCCGATGAAGTAATCATCGCGAATTGGGTTACGATATACCATTCGAATCTCCATTAAATATAGTATATAATATACCAAGACGAATTATCCCCTATCAATATACAGTAAGTTATTTATGGATTAATAATTTTGGGTTATTTTTTTTGACTGATATTTTCAAAGTGGATTTGCCCGATGAAGTAATCATCGCGAATTGGGTTACGATATACCATTCGAATCTCCATTAAATATAGTATATAATATACCAAGACGAATTATCCCCTATCAATATACAGTAAGTTATTTATGGATTAATAATTTTGGGTTATTTTTTTTGACTGAAATTTTCAAAGTGGATTTGCCCGATGAAGTAATCATCGCGAATTGGGTTACGATATACCATTCGAATCTCCATTAAATATAGTATATAATATACCAAGACGAATTATCCCCTATCAATATACAGTAAGTTATTTATGGATTAATAATTTTGGGTTATTTTTTTTGACTGATATTTTCAAAGTGGATTTGCCCGATGAAGTAATCATCGCGAATTGGGTTACGATATACCATTCGAATCTCCATTAAATATAGTATATAATATACCAAGACGAATTATCCCCTATCAATATACAGTAAGTTATTTATGGATTAATAATTTTGGGTTATTTTTTTTGACTGATATTTTCAAAGTGGATTTGCCCGATGAAGTAATCATCGCGAATTGGGTTACGATATACCATTCGAATCTCCATTAAATATAGTATATAATATACCAAGACGAATTATCCCCTATCAATATACAGTAAGTTATTTATGGATTAATAATTTTGGGTTATTTTTTTTGACTGATATTTTCAAAGTGGATTTGCCCGATGAAGTAATCATCGCGAATTGGGTTACGATATACCATTCGAATCTCCATTAAATATAGTATATAATATACCAAGACGAATTATCCCCTATCAATATACAGTAAGTTATTTATGGATTAATAATTTTGGGTTATTTTTTTTGACTGATATTTTCAAAGTGGATTTGCCCGATGAAGTAATCATCGCGAATTGGGTTACGATATACCATTCGAATCTCCATTAAATATAGTATATAATATACCAAGACGAATTATCCCCTATCAATATACAGTAAGTTATTTATGGATTAATAATTTTGGGTTATTTTTTTTGACTGATATTTTCAAAGTGGATTTGCCCGATGAAGTAATCATCGCGAATTGGGTTACGATATACCATTCGAATCTCCATTAAATATAGTATATAATATACCAAGACGAATTATCCCCTATCAATATACAGTAAGTTATTTATGGATTAATAATTTTGGGTTATTTTTTTTGGCTGAAATTTTCAAAGTGGATTTGCCCGATGAAGTAATCATCGCGAATTGGGTTACGATATACCATTCGAATCTCCATTAAATATAGTATATAATATACCAAGATAAACTATACCCTATTAATATACCGTAAGTTATTTATGGATTAATAATTTTGGGTTATTTTTTTTGACTGAAATTTTCAAAGTGGATTTGCCCGATGAAGTAATCATCGCGAATTGGGTTACGATATACCATTCGAATCTCCATTAAATATAGTATCTAATATACCAAGACGAACTATACCCTATTAATATACAGTAAGTTATTTATGGATTAATTATTTTGGGGCCTTGGTAAATTAGATACTACCTATATTTAATGGAGATTCGAATGGTCTATCGTATCCCAATTCGCACCAATTATCCATCGAGAAAATCCACTTTAAAAATTTTCAGTCAAAAAAAATACCCAAATTGTTAATCCCATTATAACTTTTGGAATATTAATTGTGTACCTCTGTTTAAGAAAAGCTGTTGAAGAACAAAGAAAATAACCAAAAGTCATAATAATTAACTTTATTATTATTACATTTAAATTTAACTATATAATTGATAGATTTAATAAATAAAAGAAAATAACACAAAGATTAAGCCATAATTGTGAACAAAAAATTTGATTGGAATTAAGAAGAAATTGAAAAAAGGCAAAGTTTTTAAAAGAAATATTAAAAGAAAAGGAAAAAATATTAAATTATGCCCGGACACAAAGAAACCCTTAAAAGAGAAACATAAAAGATAAGGGGGTCCACAAATACCTGCTAGAAATTCCATTTCCCCTTCAATTAGAGACCGAATGGGGATTGATCGACCGAGACTATTAACAACGAGATAAAGGAGAGACTACTTAGCTGTCCCAACTCTGGCCCATAATAAATATTGTCCGTAATTTATTTTGCGGACAAAAAAAATTTTTGCGGACAAAAAATTTTTTTGCGGACAAAAAATTTTTTTGCGGAGAATATTTGCAGATATGGAAATATTTAATACTCAATTAACAACACATTCCTTCTTCTTCATTATCCTCTTCATTCCCAATCTCATTAGCTTTTAACAGAATTTTTTGTTGTCCTTTTAAACTTCTTTCTTCATTTGATTGAACATGCATAGGCTTGCTATGACGTAATTTATGTACCAAAGTCATAAAAATTGCTTCTATATGATCAGCTTCAGAATCAGCAAATGCTGAGGTTTCGAATAATGCCATATCGTTCTCGTCAGCAAAAATCTATTTAAAAATAAAAAATAAAATTTTGCGGACAACTTTTGCGGACATGGTCCTGAAAAATTTTTCGAGTCGGAAAAGTCGAAGATCTGTGGAAACTGAAGGAAAGAGAGTCCGATGAGACCAAAAATTGAATCTTATAAAGAGAGGATATTTTAAATTGGAAGTAGTCTCCACACAAGAAAAAAAGTAAATATGAGCAAGTCCTTGGAACCGGGAAAAGGTCGGGTTGTGAAAAATTGGCTCCGGTACAGGATTGGATTTCGACGCGAAAAAAATTCCTAGTATTTGGTAACTCGACCCATCCCACAGCAAAATTCATTTTATAATGAGGGCTATCTTAAATCTAGGGAGTGCCTAAACAGCTCCCCTATCCAGTGACCATTTAAAAAAAAATTAATTTTGCGGACAATTTTTGCGGGCAGTCATGAAAACGAGGCTCGACTTGTATAAATTTTTAAAAAATTCTAAAAATTCCACAAACCTGTGCCTGTTCAGTTTTAATTCTTTCATTATTTGTTGTTTGTAAATCACATTTATTTCCTATTAAAATATGGGGTGTATCATCTCCAGAAGTTAAAGCATGATTTTTACATTCCAAAATCCAGGCAGGCAAAGATTTAAATGATTGAACGTTATTTATATCATAAACAAAAACAACAGCATTTACATTTCTGTAGTAATGGGCTACAATTGATTGACGATATCTTTCTTGACCTGCTGTGTCCCACTAGAAATTTTTAAAAAATAAAAATCAGCAAAAATTAATTACGAGGTCACTTGTGGGTAATTTTTACCTGCCCTGTATCCCAAAAAAATGATGAAAATTAAAAAATAGATATTCGTCCAGACTCGCTTGTTGTTGGACGAGTAGGGGATTTGTCAAAATCAACGTCTCAAGCCATATTTCGGGACATAACCTTTACGATTCTTTACTGATTTAAATAGTTTTTATATCAATTGAAAGCTACAAATGTGAGGATTATTTTAGCTAACAGGATTGATTTGATCAGATCAACCTACTTAAGTTACAGCCTGCTAACAATAAGTGCGCGCAATCGTGTTTTTGATATTTATTCGGCTATAACTTTTAGTAGAATGACCTGAACAAATCAATCCCGTTAATTAAAATAATCCCCAAATCCAGAGCTTTCGATTGTTATAAAAATTGTTTAAATCGATAATGAATCAAAAAAGTTATAGCCCAAAATATGGCCTATAGACTGAGGCATTTTGCTGGAAAAATAGGAAAGAAACACCTCTTTTCCAAAAAAATTTAAAAAAATACCAATTGTATTCTAATCAATTCCTCATCAATAATTATAGAGCGTTCACGAAAGTCCACGCCAATAGTTGCCTCGGTCGGTCCAGGAAAGCGTCCATTACAGAAGCGATAACTTAAACAAGTTTTGCCCACACCCGCATCTCCAATTATTATAACCTTTTTAAAAATAATTTTTAAAAATAAAAAAAAATTATAAAAAAACCTTAAAAACCCGTTTAGATTTATAACTTCCAACTCCTTTAAATTTCAAATTTGCCATTTTATTTTTATTTGTGTCGTCTTCCAAAACTTGTTTCGTTGCTTCCGCAGCCCCAGGGAAAGGTTGATTGTAAGGATATCTTTTTATTTGAGTCAAATCTTTTATTTCTTCTTTGTTTTTTGATGGAGAGGCTTTGTCGTCTTCTTTTTTGTTGTTTGTATTTGTTGTAGTTGAGTGATCCTGTGGTCGATATTCAACTGTTTCAACGACAGGATTCATAATAAAAATTATTTAAATAAATTTTAATAGCCTCAAAAATGTATAAAAAATTTAAAAAAACACTAGAGAAAATTTTTTGGTACCCCAGGTTTCATAAATAAATTTTCTAAAAATATTATTCGTAAAATAAAGCTATTTTCCACGAGTTGGACTCGAACCCACATCCTTTATGGTTATAAACCCGCCCACACCCAACTAAACCAAAGATCACAATGAATCAAATTTAAAAAAATTGAAAAGCCATTATTAAAGGCTTCAAAAAATTCAAAAAAAAATTAAAGAAAATTTAAAAATTTTTTATCAGACATTTTTATTTTCAAAAATTTAAAAAACAAACACCAGAAAAATCAACAATAAAATATAAATATATATTTTGGTTTTCAAAGGCAGTTACAGGCAAGAGAAGTGTATATATGAGGCATGTGTTAATAAAATAAAAGGCCTTTTTATGGGTAAAAGATTGCATTCGTGTTAATTTTTTTGTGATTAAAAATCCAAGAAATTTTTGGAAAATTTTAATTCAAAAAAATATTTAAAATTTTTGTCCGCAAAAATTTTGCGGAAAATCCGCAAGTTTTGTCCGCAAGTTATTTTTCGGTCTTTTTTAATCACAAAAAATATAATTTACTATAAAATAACCAAAAAAATCAAAAGAAGCAACAAGAATGTATTTTTGGGCCTTGAAAGAATTTCTTTAGATAGAATATAGTATAAATCTCCAGGTTCATATAAATATCTTTGATTTTCTTTAAGTCGATTCACCTACAAAAAAATAATTAAAAAACCCTCTTTAAAAAAACAAACTAGAATATATTTGAACTAATACGGCAAGCATCCCAACCATTTTTACGAAAATTTTCGATTGCAGCAAATGTAGAACGAATACCATCCAATTGCATATCAATTAAAGCCCAAAGTCCATGCAAATCACCAAGCAAAGTTGGCTTTGGATTATTGGCTGTTGGATTCTGTAAAAATAAATAGGAAATTTTAAAAAAAAAATAAGCCAAAATCGTATAGGGAGGGGGAGAAAAAGGAAAACAATCCGCGAAAAAAAAATGCGGACAATTTTTGCGGATTCAGAGATATTTTATTAAAAAAATCAGGTCATTCATTAAAATTATGGTTGCCGGCCAGGTTCGGTTCGATAGATCGAACGGGGCATCAAATTTAGTCCCGAAAAACTGACTCGGCCGGCCTGATCCAATAAAAATAAATTCCAAAGAAGACTTAAACGGTCCGGCCCGAAAAAAGACTCGAACGTCGACCCGGTTCAAAAACGGCAACCCTAATTAAAATAAATAAAAAAATTTAAAAGAAAACAAGGAAACTTTTCCAAAAAATAGGAATTTTAATACAGGGTAATTTTTACTATGGTTCCCAAAATTTAATACTAGGATTGGTTCCCAATCCCAATTCCCGAAAAAAATCTTCCCGAAGGGACAAGAACTATCCCTACCCTAAACCTATTTATTACCAAAAAATAAATTTAAAAAATACCATATAACGTTCCAATTGTTCTCCAAATTGTTTCATTCTTTTATTTAGCAATAATTGACTATGCCCAATTCCAACACGCAGCAATTCCTTCAAAATTAAATTAAAAAAAATTTTCTTTAAAAAATTCAAAAAAAAACCTGAGCTTTCTCTGGCAAATTTTTATTTGTTGAAATTAATCGATTAGCATTCCAAATATGGTCTTCCAAACATTTGGTCAAAGAATCAAATAAATTCTGAAAATCTTGGCCAGTTTCAGGTTGTTTATTGCCATCGAATTTTGGAACGGAGAAGGAAAAGGAATTTGCCTCAACTATTAAAAATTCGGGTGCTGGACACCAATTAATTTGGGAATCGTCCAATAATTGTTGTTGAGAATTCTTTTTGTTGTTTTTGGTGGTTTGAGCAATATTGTTATTCTTTTGAGGAAGATTCTGTGTTTGAGTATTTTCTCCTGATGGCTTTTTGGGTTGCTAAATTAAAAAAAAATTTTTTTACAAAGTCCGCACATTTTATCCGCAAGATATCGAGGAGTTAATTCAACATCTTAAGGGTTGATTAATACCCGAAACTTCCTAATTTGTTGCAGTCCTTTCATTTACCCGGTTGAAAAAATATCACGATTTGCGGATAAAACTTGCGAACTTTCGGAAACAGAAAAGAACACTTAAACGCCAGCAGGGAAATGAAGGGTCTAGTTCAAACAATGTTATCTATAGGATTTTTTGGATCGATTTATGATCGAAAAAAGGCAGGGGTCCCATAGTATTTAATGTCTCCTCAAAATTAAAACGAATCTAGTAGCTAAAAAATCATTCCCACCGGCTAGAATGAGACAGATCTGACTGAAAAAGTTAGGTCGGGCTTAGAAAATTCTTGAATCTGGTTTCGAATCGAAAAACCAGGGCCCGGACTTCGAGTTCCTCCCCTTTCCATCCACCCCTATAGTATCAACGCCTAATCAAAATTTAAACAAAACCTTAGTAGTAATTTGAGAATTAATTTTTCCATTAGAAGTAGACCCATTCGAAATTGATTGAACTCGAACAACCGAAGTTTTGGGTTTTGAAGTAGTCCCATTAGTATTCTGTGACGGCAAAGAAGTTGTTGATGGATTACGAAAGCGATGTCCAGTAAAAACCAAAGTTTTTGTATTCTTCATATTTCTAGATGTTTTTTAAGAAAAAATTAATTTAAAATCTTGAAAAAAATTAAAAAAATATTTTTTTTTGAAAAATTACAAAAAAATTTAAAAAAATTTAAAAACAAAAATTTTTAATAAATCACGACAAAAAAATAATTAAAATGATATTTTGACGTAAGCAGAAATTTTTAAATAATTGATTAAAACAAAAAATTGTGGAAGGATGGGGAAGGGACGTCGTTGTGTCAAAATGAGAGGGGGATGTTGAAAAAATTATTTTATACTAATAAACCTTTGACCTCGTTAATTTTAAATGTGGGAGAAGGGGAGGTGCTAGTCAGTCCTTAAATTGATTTGAAAATTAAAGACTGGAAAAAGGGCAAGTTTTAAAATAAATTATTTAAAGGGTACAGCCCAATTAGGCGCGAAGCCATAACGGCGCAAAGCCCTATAACTTGCTTCAAGATTCCCTAATCCCTCCAAATTTAGTATTAAACGATTCCTCTCATCGAGCTAAAGAGAATGGTACCAAAATTGATAAGGTCCGAAAATTTCCCAGCAAGTTATGGCTTTGCGCCGTTATGGCCGCGCGCCGACTTGGGCGTTTCCCTTACATTTTTCCTTAATCCCCCTCCTAATTTTCTTTGTTTCTCTCCGTTAAAAATTTGAATTCTTTCTTCAAGCATGTTTAATAAAATAAATTATCTTTTAGGGAAAAAATATTAAAAATAAATTTAAATAATTTTGTCCGCAAAACTTGTCCGCAAAAATATATCCTCTTCCTGATTTTCTAGAAATTAATTCAACATCCCCCCATTTTAATAACAAAAATAACAAAAAAAAACTAAAAATTTTCGGGAAATCAATTTCACCAGATCAATTGGAAAAAAATTTTTTTAGGGTTTAAAAGCCACAAAACAACATCTTTTTCAGAAAAGTGTTTGGTACCCGATGAAAATTTCTTTAAATGATTTTTAAGTGGAATACCGCTAATACATCCTCAGACACAAGTAAACTAGAAACGTCGGCTCAAATCTGTCCCGTGGACAAAGTATTAGCGATATTCCGACTATAGTTTAAACGAAAATTGCGGACAATATTTGCGGACAATTACAAAAGCCTTCTATATTCTAAAATAAAGTAGAGTTATGATATTCAATACCAATATACCTTAAAGACTTCAAGAATAAATGTCAAGGTTCCGGACATACCCCAAAAAAGGTGTTTGTTCCAATTTCAAAAAGACCTTTTAAATTTTGTCCGCAAATATAGCCCTCTCCACACAAAAAAAAATAAATTAAAAAATCTCAAACCTTATTTTACTCTCCTTTCTAATTTATTATTCCTCCTCTTCCTCCTCCTCCCCTTCCGAAGATGTTGACGCTTTTGAAGAAGCTTTTACACCAATTTTCTTCTCATCGGAAACGTCATCACTTTTATTGGATAATTTATTGCCACCATCATTTCCTCCCTCCATTTCTTCTTCTTCCTCTCCCTCTTCATCCTCCTCTCCACTGTCCGAATGAATTGCTGATTTATTTGTTTTATTTTCTTCATCTAAAATTTTTGCAATTTCCGCTTCAGCAATTCGACGGGATTCGACGTCCAGAAATTCAACATCTTTAACATGCTTATTTAATATCCCCATCATTCCAAAAGCCTAGAAAAAAAATTAAAAATAAATCAGAATTCTCGTTTTTGAGAGAATAATTTATGAGAAACCCTCCCCCTCCAATAATTTATATTTAAAAAAAAGTTCATGAAAATTGGAGCTCATTTAATTTTTGCGGACAACATTTGCGGACTTTCTTTTTCTGGGTAATTTTTGAAAAAATGTTATGATGTCTATACATCGAAATAGTTTGACATTTCAAAGGCCTTTGTTTAAACGAAATGTCATAAATTTTGAACATAAAAAGGAAGTCAATGTTGGGAAAAGTCCGCAAAAGTTGTCCGCAAGTACATTTGCGGACTTTTTTTTCTGTGTATCGATTAACAAGGGAACCCATATAAATTTTCTCTACACCCAGAATAAAATTCCCCAAATTTTCATTTTTTAACTAAATTTTAAAAATTCACTAACCTTAAATTTAGTTTTCGAAGAACCAAAAATTCTTTTCAAAGGATCATCCAAAAAATAAAATTGTTTTTTCTTCGGATCTTGCAAATTATTCGATTTTAGATAAGTCCAAACACCTTTAACAACTTCAGAACGACGCATATAACCTTTTCCAAGTAAATCAGACAATTCTGGAGATAAGGCACAAATTCTAAAAAATAGAAAAAAATTAAAAAGATGAGATTTTTTGGCGGTGAGATTTGCGGACTAACATTTGCGGACATTCATTGATAACCTTTCTTTATCATATGAATTTTGAGGTGTAATGGAGAGGGGTTGAAAGTGGTCTCTGACTCACAAGGGAACCATTCAAACTGTAAGCTCTTGCGTTGATTTTTCACCTCAAGTTTCGCAAACTTTAAGCTCTATAACTTTGTTTCATATATCGCTAGCCAAAAAAACCCCGAAAAAAGCCAAAAAAAAACCCGGAAATTTTTATAATAAATCGATACTCCCCTTCCATTGGTACAAAAAAGTAAAGTTTTGACTTTTGGTTTGGATGGTTCCCTTGTCAACGATCATTTATTCCAATTTCAAACACCTTCGGTTTTGTCCGCAAATTTTAAAAATTTAAAAAAAAATTATACTTTGTAAATTGAGTTTGTCGTTTAGTCGAAGAACCCTTTTCTTTCTTCTTTTCCTTTTGTTTTGAAGTTCGTTTAGGCAAAGGTGCAGCAGAACGACGTCGTTTAATAGAAGAAACCATATCATCATTTTCCTCATCTAAAGAAGTTTTTGATGTTGATGGCTCATTACTTGAAGTTTTGCGTTTGTTTCCTTTTTTAGTTTGGCTTGAATTTTGGACTATTTTTGAAGATCTAAAAATAATTTTTAATAAGAAAATTTTGAATTTAAAAAATTTTTTCTAAAGGGGGGGGCCTCTTCAAGCCATTAAATTTATTTTTAAATATTCTGTAAGGTCTAAGAAATTGACAGAACCGAAATATTTTTTTGAAAACTCCCAAGATTCTAGGACATTTTTTAGTCGTGTCTAGAGAATGCGTCCTGTTCGGTCAGTGGTAAGATAATAGGGCACTGAAGTAAATTTTAAAAAGGTACTCGAAATTTTATCCCTTGTCAGTACATTTTGACTAATAGTCCACTGAACGATAATATACTGACGCAAGGACCTCGAGCCTTTTTAATACCTAAACTTGAAAGGGGGCTGTTCAATTTTTATTTTAAAAAGACGGAAGACCAGAGGCAGAAGAAGATAGAAAGGCGGAAGGCGGAAGACCTGAAGGGGAAGAAAAATCCAGCCCTGCTATCCAGGACAAGTAATCTAATCTTAACAATAAGAATGCCTAGAAACAAAAGGAAAAACTCAACAAACTTTTCAATATTATCCACATCAGAAAATTCAGAAGATGATAATTGCGAGTCCTCTTCTTGTTTTGTCTTCTCTTCAAAATTTTTCTTCTCAATTTTATCATTTCCCTCTTCCTCCTTCTTTCCTTCATTTTTAACAATTTCTTTCAAATAATTACCAATACATTCCTCGATTAATTTGTCCAAACGGCTTTTGTGTTTTTCAAAGTCACAATTAAATTTGGTCTAAAAAATAAAAAAATTTTTGATAATTTTTGTTTTTAAATTGCCCTCGAAAATAGATACGGGTTTTTGAGTAGTGTTGGGCCCCGACTCCTTGAGACGTTTGTTGGGGTGTGCTGGAGTATGACAGACAACAACTTGTTAGTGCTTTCAGTTATACTTCAACGCACCCTCAAGGAGTCGGGGCTCAACCCTAGTGTTTGGGTGATTACTGAAATAAATGGAGAAATTAGGGAATCCTGTCAATCGATTAAATCAGTCTTGAGAAAAAAAACAACAGGGAATTATGCTACTCCAATGCTTCTTAAGAAAGGCTGGGTACTTTTGCGGGTTTTTTCTCTGCAATGTAAACCCGAGGATTTTTGCGGACAAAAAAATTTTGCGGATTAAACGCAAAAATCAAATCCGCAAAAAAATTTGCGGACAAATCCGCAGAAAAATCTTTTGCGGATTAAACCGCGCCTAAACCTATGGAAAAAATACACCTACAAACACATTCTTAAAAACTCATAAAACCCCTTAAAAATACTGCTAAAGACCTCCTATTTAGAGGACCAGGTAAGTAAACTACCAAAAAATACTCATGAAAGACACCCTCAGAAAAATACCCAAGAAATCCATAAAAAATTTAAAAAAAACCTCCAGATGATTTCGAATTATTTTGCTTGTAACAACTTCTAAACCTTTCTCATTAATTAATTTTTTAATCTCTTCGGTTAAATCAGTTTCATTCACTGGAAATTGTTCCATCAAAAATTTAAAATAAATTATTATTAATTTATAGTATAGCTGTTGAAAATAGCAGATAAAATCTCTAAAATAAATTAAATAGAAAACGGAAGCTAAATATAAAAATATAGAAAAAAATTTTTTTGCAAAAAGAAATCAAAAGAATCAGAAAAAAATCATAAGGGAAGTTCCCAGACTAATAGCCCTTCTTCAACAATTTTCTTGTGGGTTATTCTTGTAAAAGGAAGAATTAAACCGAGCAATTCAAAAGCTTTAAAGTACTTTAATAAAAACAAATCTTTCCTTTATTGATTCCGAAACAAAGCAAAATCGATTTGCGTTTTACAAAAAGGTTTGGAATGAGCTAACCCCCAATTCTCTAGGAAGAGACCCAAAAGATCAAATCTCGAGATCAATGGAAGAACCCTATAGGAAACCACCCAAACGATTACCAAAAAGATCAACGCTGTCCATTGGGACATTTGAGTAAATATATAAATAATCAATACTATTTTGATCAAAACAAGAAAATATGAATAAAATAAATACATTTTAACATTTTAATAAAAAAATATACAAAAAATATTTCCAATTTAAAGGTCATTCGAAAACAAAAAATAACTTGACTAAGGTCCATATCTCTTCCTTCAACAGAATAATAGCATACATAAAAGCAAAAATGCCACAATCTGTCCCGTTTGATTGTTTCGGGACATTTAACAATTCTCTTAATGTCCATTCTTCTTTTATATCAATGTCTGTTCCATCCTGTCGGCAGCCTTCATAGGAATGTCCCTAACGAAATATAAATAAAAGATAATTTTCTTGAATATGATAAACAAAAAACTTAACATTATAAAATCAAAATCTTACAAAAATGTGTTCATGAAATCTTTCGTGCTTCCAACAACTCCATTATTCAGAGAATCCATTACTATGATTTCCCTCTTTTGCATTCTTGCAACAGCCATAGCCCAGTGGTTATCGTTAAGATGCACCGGCGCTAAGAAAGTTTCAACACCCTCCATTTTCCAATACACTCCCAGCTTTGTTTTTTTGTAACTAACCAAAGCAAATGTAGGTATATATTGAATTCTACCATCTGTAAGTAATTCTACTGCCATAACAGGAAGGTTCCTAAAATTTTTTAATATCAAGATGGGACTCAATTTATATAAGGTGTACGAGACTAGTACCATTTCTTTTGCATATATGTTGAGATATGCATCAATCACATCTCTGCTGACCCATTCACCATCACAGAGGCTGAGTAAACCTTCAATCGTAAGGTGTTCTTCCTTGCCCTGGAAAAATTCAAAAGATGATTAGATTTTGTTTGGAAACGATGACACATCTCATTTTCATTTAAAACGGGATATTTTACAAAAGGACAAGCCCAAAATGGCGCGCGGCCATAACGGCGCAAAGCCATAAATTTCTTCAAAATTTCTGAATCTTATCAAATTTAGTATTAAACGATTCCACTAATCAAGCTAAAGAGATTGATTCAAAAATTGGAAAGGAACAGAAATTTTCCAGCAAGTATAAAAAGTAAATTTTTAAACACTTTTACCCATTCCCCATTAACTCCTGCCCGCACTTCTTTATTTTCACTTAAGTTTGTACAAAAATCATCACGCATGTATTCTTCAGGGAGGGCAGGGCGAACAGTCTTCGAGGGTTCAGGTTTTATACACAATTTAGAGTGAAGGAGATGAACGTCTTTGTCTGTTATGTTGTTAAGGATACATTCTTTAATCCTAAAACCAGGAATGTCAAAGACAATTGTGTAGGTTGTTCCTGAGGGACAACTTTCTTCCTTTGGTGCTACAATGCAGTCCACAGGTATGACAATCTTAACAAAAAATTACAATGTATGTTCGAAGCATACTAGGACATGGATACAGATATTGTAAAAATCCCTGCGGGTATCCGCTGTATACGCCGTAAATATCCGGATACCAAAATAAGTATCCGTGTCCTAGTCTGGTTCGAAGAATTATCCTGGGTAATTATTCAAGCTGGGGGGAGGGGGGGGTAATAAATTAAAATGGGGCAATTATTCAAGAGATGATAATCTATAGACCCCATCCAATAGACAACATCATAAAGATCACCGCTGTAATTGGGACAAAAGACGAAATATATAAATAATCAATACTATTTTGATCAAAACAAGAAAATATGAATACAATAACAGCAATATCTTAACATTTTAACAGAAAATATACAAAAAACAAACAAATATATATAACCAAAAAACCTTCTAATTTTACTTATATACAAACATCTTCATAGCCACCTAATCACATCCTTATTTAGCGAAATGTCCCTGTTTGTTGAGAAATTGTTGGCTGAGAATGCTCTATTTTAATATTCTCATCCTTGATTCTTTTCTAAAATAATTGAATTAGAAAATTAGAAAAAATTTATGGAAGGACAATTCACCGTATTTACAATTCAGGACAATTCACCGTATGTACGGACAATTCACCGACTCTAAAATACCCATCGTATTGCTATCCCACTTAACCACAATTCAATGTCTGAATGGACACTGGTCTACTTGTCTAACCGTCCAGTCGACTCACTGTCAATTTGGCTCACAAGTCTCATTGTCAGCTCTTAAAAGCTCCATACGGTGAATTGTACTTACGGTAAACTGCCCTTTAGTAAACATTTACCGATTTTAGATCCAGTCTAAAGCTTTTGGGTGCAGGAACTTCTTTACTAAGATCCTAAAAAGAGAAAAAATTTTTTTTTTCAAAAAAAAAAACCCTTCAATCAACTCACAACATCGTCTAAGCTTCCAAGGTCAGTCTCGTTGGTTTCCTCCAGCGGATTCAATCTCTGAAAGAAGGCTCTCGTTTTAGATCCTTTTATCATTCGATCGTTGTTGCTGTTGTTGGTGTTGTTTTTGTTTGCCCGACGAGCCTTTAAAAAAATTTTTCAAAAAAATCTTCAAAATCCCCCTTACATGACGACGCCTCCGTTTCTTCTTTTTGCAGCAATTTACTCCCACAACCAATGAGCAGACGAACACAATCGAAACAGGCAAGAAAAATAGTGTTGAGAATCCGGTACTGACCTTTTGTAGCTGTTGCATTTTTGACACTTAATTTTAGACATGAAAATTTTATGTTCAAAATGAGTGCTTTTATACCATTTTAAAAAGGCGACGAAATTTGAGGACAAACATTTGCGGACAAAGCAAACAAACTTTCTAGATTGGAATTGAACTTTGTTGAAATCTCGGCGGCGATCAATTAGCCGCGCTGAATAGGCCTCACAACAAAAATTCCAAAATAAATTCGTCCCAACCCCATTTCGTCACACTGAACAAAAACACCCAATTCGTCCTACCTCAAATTTTGAAGGACTTCTTTTATTTAATTTTTTATATCTTCTGGATTTGACGGATTTCTTATTTAAATTTTCATATTTTTTAGCTAAAAATGCTCGATTTCACACCTTTGGACTGGAACGAATTTTTTGATCGAAAAGAACTTTTATCTATAAATGAAGACAAATTCAATGTTTATTTAAAAGGATCAAAAGGCCCCCTATTTTGTTTACTTCATGGTGGGGGATATACTGGCTTGACTTGGGCGTGCTTTTCGGTTTATTTTTTTAACAAAATTTTATTTTAAATAAAATTAAAAGGAACAAATTTCTTCTCAAATTGAATGCCAAATAATTGCCCCAGATTTATGCGATCATGGAGAAACACGAGTAGAGGATAATTTGGATATGTCTGCTGAGAGAATGGCAAAGTAGGTAAATAAAATGATTAAAAGGTTTAAAGCAGTTTTGGGGACAATTTGGGGAATTTTGTATTTTTTGGTGTAGTGGGAAAATTTTAGGTTTTACCCCCAAACTGGACCAAGGTTCGAACCCCAGCAGGGGAAAATATTTAATTTTGATGAAAACTAACTTTTTTAACAAATTTTTTAATTAAAAAATTTCTAAAAATTTTTTTTCAATTTTAAAGAGATGTTTGTTCAATTTATCATCATTTATATGGCGAAAAGACTACTCCGCCTCCTTTAATTCTTATTGGGCACAGGTTTATTTTTCTTTAAAATTTTTTTTTAATTTAAACCTTTAAGTATGGGAGGTTCTATAGCAATAAATATTGCAAATTTGTCTCTACTTCCAAATATTTTGGCTGTTTCTGCAATTGATGTTGTTGAAGGATCGGCAATTGCTTCCTTAACCTTTATGCAACAATTTTTAAGGGATAGGCCTCAGACTTTTGTTTCGATGGAAAAAGCAATTGAATGGTGTATGAAAAATAGAATTACATCTAATTTGAGAGCAGCTAAAGGTTTTTTTCATAAATTTGAGAAAAAAAATATTTTTTATGGGTTTGCGGACTTGGAGTATTTTTGCGGATTTTCTGCAAAAATTTATTTTTTAAAATTTTCTAGTTTCAATGCCGTCTCGACTTGTTTATTTTGAAAACAATGGAAAGGTAAATATTTCCCAATTTTGACTAAAAAAATTTTTTTTCAAAGAAAATGTTAAAATGGAGAACCAATTTATCCAAAACAGAGCCTTATTGGAAAGGATGGTTTAAAGGCCTTTCAAAATCATTTCTTAATTGTGAACCTGTAAAGATTTTGATACTGGCAAATATTGACAGATTGGATCGGGAATTAATGGTATAAATTTTTTTCATTTTTTTGCGGATCCTGGCCCTCTTTACTGACTTAAAATTTTTTTTGTCTCCGTTTCAGTCCCTCGGACTGCTCCCTTATTGTCAGGAATTCTGACTTTTCTCTTCGGGGTTCTGATTTTTAAAAATTTCCCAGTACCGAAATTTGGGTTAGCAAGCAGGGATGAACCGGGTTACACATAAAAAATTTTTTTCGTAAATTTCGACTCGAGATCCGCCCAGATTTTTCTTCGTTGAGTCCCTCACTGCTAACCAAGCTATATATTTAAAGGTTTAATTGATCCTTCGGATTTTATCCAAATCCCCTCCCCTAAAAATAAATTTAATTTTTAAAAGACTGGCCAAATGAGAGGACAATTCCAATTAGAAGTTATGCATAAATCTGGACATGCAGTTCACGAAGACAATCCTGAGGATGTTGCAAAAATTTTCTCTAGAATTATTGAACGATACAGAAAAATATTGAATTTTTGAAAAATTTTCTCAGTTTTTATAAGGTATATTTTTTGTAAATTTTTTAAATTTTAATTGAAAAATTCTGCTGGATTAAATAAAATAATAAAAAATGAAATATTTTTTATTCGTTGTGTGAAAAAAAATTATTAGGCCTGTGTAGGAATCGAACCCCCCTCAAAATAGGGTGTAGTCGGCGACCCTACCACTTAGCCACAACTGTCTCTGTAAGGATTATTTAAAATAAGCTTTATAATTAAAAAGAGAAATTCTTCGCCTCTTCTATTTATTAATGCGTTGAAGAAGCACTGCTTCCACTCCCAAATTTGATGACTAGGAAGAGTACAATTGCTATTAAAACAGCCAAAACAATTATCAAAATGCAGGCTTGCTTCTAAAATTTTTTTAAATTAATTTTCCGATTTTTATTAATTAGCAAAAGCATTTTAAAAAATTCTAGCAAATATAAGCTTTATTCTGTTAAATTGTTAGTGAAATAAATTTTGAAATGAAAAAAAGGAATGTAAAGAAAAAAATTTCAAAAATATGAACGAACAAAAAAGTTGAAGGAAAGAAATGGAATGAGATTAAGACGAGGCATCAAAAATCAGTGTAATATATCAATTACGTACTATTAGAATCGTCAAAATTAGAACTCGAGAATCCCTAAACAAAAATTTCCCTCTCGGGTACCATTTTGTATAACTAGAGTTCTTTTAGGTAATGCTCGAGACCGGATTGGGAAGCAGGGGTGTCCGCAGTTGCGGACTGTGTAAATTGCGTGGTTTTTTGGCTTGGGGACTGCGGATTGCTGCTACGGATTTTAAAATTAAAATTGCGGACAGCGGAAAATTTTTTTTCACACCCGGACAGCCATGCTAGGAAGGTCATCCGAAAATCTAGATCGATATCTAGAAAAATCTCGACTCTTGATAACCGAGAATTTTTGTTCGATGTTGTGTCCCCAAAGTCCACTAACTTTTTAGGGAATAATTCCCTTTAAAGAAATGACTTGCGGACAAAACTTGCGGACTTTAAGGGAACACAACAGAAAAGGACTCAAAATGGTCATAAATAAATTTATTGCAAATTTAAAAATTTAAAAAAGTGCCCTGAATTTTTATGTTAAACTCCATCTCCTCTGATGACATCAAAATGGATTTGGCACAAAAGAAAGTATAAAGAGACATGCAATAGCAAGAAGAATAAGCACGCAGATGATTACAATGATTTTTTTCTAAAAAATTTTTTAAATTAAAAAAAATTTTTTTTCGAGACAAAACCACAAACACGACGTTACTGAACACAAACGACGAAGAGAAAACAACAAAAAATACTAAAACAAAATTTTATTTTATCTAACCGACGACCAACCAAAGGGCAAGTTGATAAAAACTTGCGGATTTTATTTTACGGATTTAATTTTTTTTTAAATTTATTTTTAAAACGGTGGAAAACTCGTCCTAAAAGTGAAAATTAATCGAGGATTTCTCTGGAACAATGTCTGTGTTTTTACCTCACTACTACCCTCAATTTGGTGGGTGATACATTTGCGGATTGTCCGCAAATTTAAAAAAATAAAAATTTGGATAAAATTTAGACAAAAATTGTTTTATGAATAAAATGCAAAGAATCACAATTTAAAAAATTAAAGAAATGTATTTTAAAGGCACAGGAATATTTATAAAAAAAAGGCATCCCCAAAAAATTAAAAAAACCAAAAAAGCTCACCTATTAAAGGATTTTTAAATATATTTTACAAATAATTACAAAGGGGTTTAAAAAGGCAAAATAAGGAAATAAGCAAAGCGAGTAGGTAGTTTTTAAGAAAAATTTTCAAAAATAAAATTTTTCCCTTTGAAATGCAATCAAAAATGGAATCTTTGGGTAAAGCAAAATTTGCGGACAAACATTTGCGGACAAATACAACTTTACAGTTTTAAAAGATAAATACCCCCAATATCCCACAAAAATCCAGCCCTAGACATAACCCTGCCATTTGCCCCAAGTTCAATTAGCTCTCCAAGTTTTGTCCGCAATAGAGACCGGCGCGGGATGGGATCCCGTCGGGGTTTTCCGGGATCCCGAAATCCCAGATTTTTTTGATTTTCGGAATCACTCGGGATCCCGTCCCGGCATTGGTTTAAAAAAATCCCGATTCGGGATCCCGGAAGTTCGATTGTGCCGGTCTCTAGTCCGCAAATATCAGTCCGCAAAAACTTTTCCTGGTACCCCTTTTTATAAATTAAAACCTTTCTCTCTTTCCCTTTTTTCTTTCTCAATTCTTCGGTGTTTTGTTCAAAGTTTTATTAATTTGGTGGCGGCTTGAATTTATATCATTTGTTTCATTTCGAGAAACAGAAGAAGAAGACTCATGCCCTTCATTAACTTCAGGAAGCCCATGCGGCATCACAGCAAAATTCATAACAAAATATAAAATAATTCCACCAATTAGTAAAGCCAACAAAACGATTGCAACAATTAGACAAAAAATTTTCTTCTAGAAACAAAACAAAAATTTAAAAAAAAATAAGGAAAGGGGAAGGGGGAAAAGCAAAACAAAAAAACGAAAAAATTTTTTTGGAAAATTTTTGAAAATTTTTTGAATTTTCGAAATTTACAAAAAAATTTTTAAAAAATTTTTGGAAAAATAGTCGAGGGGCTACCAACCAAAAATACTTGGATCAGATGTCATTCGAAAGATCTAGATGTGTTGACAACTTTGGGTTAAGAACAGGCTCAAAATGGTCAAAAACTATGAAGGGGGTGGAATCAAGCCTATTTTGCGGTAAAAAATTCGATTATACAAATAGCAGCTTATTCGACAGTGCTCATTGAGCTTAAGTTGAATGACATGATTCAAGTAGTATTTTTGTTGGGTAGCCATATTCGAAAGTTTTTCCAATTTTTTTGAAATTTTCAAAAAATTTTAAAACCAAAAAAAACACAAAGACTTAACTAAACACAGCAAAAAAAACAAAAAAAATTTTTTTTATGAATTTAAAGAAAAAATTTTAAATTTTTTAAAACCTACTCTTCTCGCTTTGCTTTGATATTGAACAGCCTTTTTTGTATCGGCCACAGCTCTATCTACAAATTCTTTTGCATGTTCCACATTATATTCTATTCTGTCAACCATTTCACCCTAAATTGATTTTTTGAATAATTTTTTTTTAATTTTTAAAAAATTAAACCTGAGATTCAACAAGCATTGCCATGTCCATAAACCTACGAGAAAGTAAACATTAAATTTTAAAAGGGAAATTTTCTTTAGATCACTTTAGTCAAAAGAATGGAATGGTTCGCTTGGGATAATCCCCTTAAACAAAAAAGGGATTTATTGGAATAATCCGGGGATTATTTGAACAATCCCTATAATGTAAAGTGTGCATAATCCCTTAAAGGAAAGATTGATAAGAATAATGGTTTGGTTAACCTGGTTTTCCCATAATTAAAGTCAAGAATCTGTTCAAGAATTATCACTCGATATCAAAACTCTCTCATAGTCCCTGGTTCCTTTGACTCAAGGCACGACTCCTCGCATGTCTCATAGTCCTAATTTGCTTCCTAGTTCTTGTAGTGATCCTTAACTTAAGGGCATCCCTCCCAAATCAAAATCCCCACAAAAAACAAAATTAAACTTACATATCATGTAATTCTCTTATACTACTTTCTAATCGCATAATATCATTATGTCTAGCCTCAATATCAGCCAATGTTTGTTTTGCTTGTTGTGTGTCAGTAATTATTCCTTGAGTAAAAACACCAGGATTTCCAGATTCAATCATTTCTTCAAGATCTTCATCGCCAACTTTTTTACCCGCTAAATAAAAAAATAATTTTTTGATCTTTTAAATAATTTAGAAGGTTCGCCCGTTTCTAATCCCGATTTTGGAGGGTTTATAAAAATCCAGAGTGGTTTAACAACGGAAAATTTAAGATTTTAATATCCCCGACAACGTAATAAAAGTTTCTATACGCCAGGAAATGTCTACCGGCCTCTACAGGCCGGGGAAATGTCCACCGGCCTCTACAGGCCAGGAAAATGTCTACCGGCCTCTACAGACCGGGGAAAATATCCACCGACCCCTACAGGTCAAAAAAATGTCCACCGACCCCTACAAGCCAGGGAAATGTCCACAGACCCCCACAGGTCGGGGAAATGTCCACCGACCAGGCGAATATTCAGAGAAAGACCCCCATTTCCCCCTAATATTCTTAAAAAATAATTTTAAAAAATCAAACCAATATCCAATTGTCTCTGAATTCTTCCTTTACAACGCTCTCTATAATCTGTTTGTGTTTTGTTATAATCCGTCATTACTTCAACAAATTTTCTTGAAAGTGTAGCTTGTTGTGTTTTTCGAATTCGCAAATCAGCGCTAGTCATACCTCCACTTTCATCATGTTCTATACTATTTTCAATTACTAAAAAATTGAAAAAAATTATTTTTAAAATTGTAAGATTTATTTGTTTTAACTAGGGTAGCTTCCCGAGCCTTCGGAGTCGGAAGTGTCGGGAATCGGGGTTTGCCGGAAAGAGCATGTCGGGTTTTGGGGTGTCTCCTGTCAAAAATAATTCCGTCATAAACAAGAGTATTAATTTCCAACCCTCCCAAAAAACTGAATTTCTTTATTATCTTTCGACACTTTAGTCAAAAAATCCCCCAAAAAATTCTTAAAAGCCTGTAAACCTGTTGTGCTTGTTTATTTTACATGTTTAAACACTTAAAACGCAAACCACTAGCGGATTCGAACCTGTACCTACCAAGTTACCCTCACCAACGCTTAACCCAACGAGCCAAAATGCTTCTTATATCACTCAAATTTAATTTAAATAAAATCAACCAACATTTAAGCTTTCCCCGCACTTTATTTGCAGTCTTCTTAATTTCTGCCATTAATTCATCCAATTCTTCTTTGGTTTCTTTAAAACAAATATTCAAAAAATCCTTGATATTAGTGTAGTTTACCCCCCATAAGCCCCGCCTCTTTGTTCCTTTTTTCCTCTTCTTTATAAAAAAACGTTTATTAAAATATTGACTTAAATGATCATTTATAGGAGGAAGATCGATAGAAAAGGCTGAAAAAGAGGCGGCGCTTTGGGGGGTAAACTACACAAATATTCAAAAATCTTTTAAAAAACAAACTTGGATCATTCACAGGATTTGAAAGAATCGCAGAATGTTTCTTTTTTACTTCTTCAACATTCGAAGCAATTAAATCAATACTTCCACGAATTTCCTCAACTTGCTCAAAAAATTCTTCCATAAATTGGCTTTGACTAGCTTCCATTGCGGCAGCAACGTCTTCATGTTCTTCTTCTGATTGGACCTTAAAATTAATTATTTTTTAATTAAATTGACTATAAAAACCGCTTTAAGTGCCCCAAGACGATCCTTCATTTTTAGACTTCTGGAATGTTGTTTTTATGTTGAAAAGGGAAGAATTAAAGAAAGCTCGTTAGTAATACAATTAAATTCAGATTAAAAATTATTTTTGAAGAAAAAATAAAGGCATATATTTTTAGTTGAAATTTATGAAAAAATTTTTGGTAATCTAAAAAATAAAAATTATTGTTAAAGGAAAAAAACGGGTACAGCCCGGCGCGCGGCCATAACGGCGCGAAGCCATAACTTGCTTCACGATTTCCGAATCTTACCAAATTTGGTATTAAACGATTCCTCTCATCGAGCTAAAGAGATTGGTACCAAAATTGATAAAGGCGAGAAATTTTCCAGCAAGTTATGGCTTTGCGCCTACTTGGCCGCGCGCCAGGCTGTACCCGGATTTTTTAAATTGCCAACTCGTAATAAATACATATTTCAAAATATCAAAAGACAAAAAAGTAAAAGGAGAAAATTTTCAACTTGAAAAAATTTAAAAAAATTTATTTAATCGAGAAATGACGGGGAGGTATTGAGGTAATAGGCAAAAAAAATATTTTAAAAATTCCCTCTAACTCCCTCCCTTCTTTCACTCTCTAGGCTTTTAGAAAGGGAGAATGACTATACATTTGTATAGGCTTTTTGGGGTTTTATTTAATGATCATCGACCTTCTCCTCGACTGTTTTATTGATTTTTAAATTTCAAAATGGAAAAAAAATTATTTAAATAAAAAAAAAATAAAAGTCGAGAGGGAAAACAATAAGCATAATGTTTAAACAATCAAAAGATTCAAGGAGAATTTATTAAAAGGGGGAAAATAAAACCCAGAAGATCAACACCTTAGAGGACAACAACAAAGAGAAAATATCCCCAAAATAATTTTTAAGGATTTTTTAAGGCTGAGAGATGAACATTTTAGAGTTTCAACAGACTAGAAAATTTAAAAAATAAAGGGCGTTTTGAACACGAATATTCAGGGAGGTTTTTAATAAAATTTTGCCTAGTCATAGAATGCGCAAAAAAGGTGGGGATGAGGAAAACGAAAGGAGAGATAACAAAACTATATAGTAAAACACCTACAAATATTTAATAAAGTTTGTTCATCTGGCATATATTTTTTTAAAAAAATGTTTTGGATAAAATAAAAAGGAAAAATAATATTTATGTGTTCCAAAAAATCACCTTACAGCATATTAATTAGAGGGCGGAATTTTGAAAAATAAACCGGGAACGGGGAGCGGGAAATTGTAGCAGAAGAAACTCGGCCGGGACCCGGAATTCTCGATCCCGGTTTCATCCCGGCATCATCAAAAAAGCCGGAAAAACGAGACCGGGTGTGGGAAATTGTGGCAAAAGAAACCCATGCCGGGATGAAACCGGGATCCCGATTTTCTCGGTTCCGGCCGGGTTTCTTCTGCTACAATTTCCCGATCCCGTTCCGCTCTCTAATATTAATTAGTCAAAGTTTTGACAAAATAAACAAAACTTATTTTAAATTTATTAGACAAATATTGATAGGGGAAGCGAGGAGAGGGATTAAGAAAATAAATAAAAAAATATTTAAGGGGGATGATGTAAAATGGGGGGATGTGGAAATTAAATAGACAGAGGAAAATGCCAGACAGGTTTTAAAAAAGGGGGAGAGAATAATTAATTAAAGCGCGAGAAAGCGCGTGTCTAAAGGTTGAAAAGCGAGAAAATAACTGATTGAGTGCACTCTTAAGGAGATTTTTTGATTGCGGGTTTACTCGAAACTAGAGGTAGGTGCGGGACGGGATCCCGCCCCGCAATCCTGCATTTTTTTGAATTGCGGGATTTTGCGGGAGTGCGGGATTTACCCCCGCGGAATTACCCCCGGGGTCCCTTCCCGCAAATATTTAAAAGAAAAATCCCGCATGCGGGATCCCGTAAACACGATTTTACCGACCTCTACTCAAAACAATGTTTTGGTCCTCCAAGAATGTTTTAGCTTAAAGCTTGTTTTTTCCCGTTTGCAGCGCCTGTTTTGCCCATTCCTCCTTTAAAAAGAGAAAATCTTCAATGTGCCGATTGCCCTGGCAGTGGTCTGCCTATATAGATAGGAAGGGGTGGCACGTCTGAAAAAGGAAAAAAAAGCTTTTGGGGCCACAACTCCTTCCTCTTTGCTCTTTTTATTAGCCTTGCTCTTATTTTTTTTTACTTCACTCCTTTCTTCTTACAACTTCTTAATCTCGCCACCAGCCAGCCACCAAAGAAAGAATTTATAAATAACAGATAAAACAGCTCTACCAACATCAACATTTTCTCTTCAATTTGAGTAAAGCATTCAATATATGCATGCTGCTTTTCAATTTTTGTTTCCCCCTCCCTTACCCCCCCCCCCCCTCCCCAAACATTATAAAAAATATTTCATAATGGCTACTACACAAGGTTTTTTATTTTGCCAACAAAGCAAGTCCATACCAGGGGTGAGCGCATTGCGTTATTTGCGTTAAATTTTGGCCTTGCGTTGCGTTATTTGAGACTGTCTCTTGCGCTCATCCCTGGTCCATGCGCTCATCCCATACCAACTTATCAACACTAAAATACCCTCAACACTAACAAGAGTAAAAAATACATTAGAAGATGAGGAAATAATTGGTTCCCGCGCATAAATGGCCAAACTTTAAAAAAGGATCTTGTTTGGATTTTCTCCCTTTCTTTCCTCCGCATGAAGCTGGAAAATATGAATTTTTGAGACTATGAGCGCCATAATTTAAAAGAGAAAGGAGAGAAGTTTATGGCCATAAAAATAGAAATAACGTAGTCTTTCAATCCTGTGGTTTATTGAAAAAGAATCGATATACAGACATGGGGGAAGGCGCCAACAACAAAAATAATGGCAACTATAGCTACACAAAAAAATGCAAAAAATAAATAAAATCGGCCAAACGAGAATATTGAATAAAGGCGTGAAAAATATGAGAGGCTTATTTGGCGAAACTCTATTGGCCTCTCCAATTACACTAGAGACCAGAGGTGGGTCGGAATTCCGATTTCCGGCGTTTTTTCCTTCCGATTTCCAATTTTTGAAAAAAAATTTTATTTCCGATTTTCAAGTTCCGACTTTTTGGCCAGTTCCGATTTCCGGCTCTCCCGATTTCCGACACCTTTGACTGTTCCGACCCACCTCTGCTAGAGACTGGGAAAATACATTGGAGAGATGAACTAGGCTTATATTCGGTGCTCCCGTTTTCCTACCTTTACGAAGGCAAAACAGGCACTCTTGGACATATTCTTTAAGCCATGTTGTTGTCGCTTTTAGCATTTCCTGTGTCGAGTTTCGTTCACCTGCCCTTTTCTCCTTCTTGTCACTTTGTCCATATGTTCATTAAATGAATCCATCCATAACAATATGTGCACATTAAAAACATTAAAAATAAACCAAAAGAACAAGCAAGGCTATAAATATTTGAAAAATGCTTAAAATAACAGTTATTTTAACCAAAAAAGGTAAAAAATTGGAAATCTCAAGTCCTAAAATTTTTAATTTTTATTTTAAAAAATATCAGCATTGCACATAAGAACAAAAAACAAAAAAAGCAAATAAAAAAATTATAAAAATAAAGGCCACAAATATATTTTGGGAGATTTATAATGATTTTTTTTAAGTTTTATGATTGAATTTAGGTCGAAGTAAAGTCTTTTAAAAAACATATTTTAAAATTCTTCAACAATAAAAAAAGGAAAAAGTGAATGTATGAATCGTTAATATATTTATTAGAGCCTTACAAGACTCTTGGTTTTGAATCTTGGCTCAAAACTTTACTTGGGTTTTTTTCGATCTTGGGGTGAAGTCTTGGTCACGAGTCTTGGCCTCGAGTCTTGGAAAATTTTCGGTCTTGGAAGGCTCTAATATTTATAGTAGTTACTCCTGTTTAAATATTTGACTAGACTTGAAGTCTTGACATTTTTAGTGGACTAGAAGTTCAGCACTTTTCAAGGTCTCTGTAGGTTTTTTCCGGAGGTCTCTTGACCGCAGGGTTTGACGTTTTCCCGAGTCGGATCCAAATTTGTCAGAAAAAATTCCGGAGATCACGAAAAAAGCCCGCATTTGGGACCCAGACTCCGAAAAAGTTGGCCAGTTCCGGTTCGAATCGGGCACTATTTTTCATTGTATTACTTAAACCCCAAAGAGGTAACATGCCCAAAATAAGAGATAAAATTATTAAGACTTAATGCCCTAATGCCAAGACTCCTCTACAAAAAATCCTGTATTATATTTTTATTTTTAATCTAAATCATTCGGAATGGTGAGCATTTCCTCCTCCGCCTCCTCTTCCACCACTTCTTCGATCGCTTTTACTACTACCTGAAAGCAAGTGTAAAAAACAATAGAAAAGTAGAATGTTGCCGAGTACTAAAAGTAGTGGAATTCGCCATTGAATGAGCCAATTCTGAAATATAAAAAAATTTTTTTGGAGGTCTTTCAAGTTTTTAAAATTTCCTACTCTAAAATTAGGATGAGCCAAATATCTTAACGGATTTTGTCTCAATCTTTCTTCTTCCTCCATTTGTTTATGTACATCTTGCCGACGTTGAGAAGCTAATCTTGCAGCTTCTTCTCTACCTAATTGTAATGGTTGGCCAGCTAAATCTTCCAAATTGGGAAGGGAACCACGTTCTTCTCTCGTTTGGTTTTGAATATCGACAGAAGAGGAAGGCAATTGTTGTTGTTGTTGGTCTTGAAGACGAAGAGAATCATCTGCTCCATAAACTGAATGAATTGGAGGAACGCGTTGACGGCATTCCCTTGGATTTACTACTAATGTGCTTCTTCTGTTAAGTGTCTAAAAACAAATATTTTTAAGGTTTCTATTCAAAAACCCCTACCATAGAGCCACTAGGAGATTCACCACAACTACTCCCACCAATTGTACCGCTAGCGCCGAGAACCTCACATTGTCTAATTAGTGAAGGTCTGTTTCGTCTAAAATGATGAGAAGTATCTAATCCACTACTGCTGGTACCTGAAAACATTTTTTGAGTATAAATGAAAATTTTCGCAAGTGAAATTTATCTCCCAACCAGGCAACAATTGATGTTTTGAAGCCTCTCTTCTCGAAGATTTCAACAAATATTGATCCCAATGATCATCACTTAGGGACATAGTTGAAGGACTTGAACGACCACGCATATTAGTCATTCCTCTCAGATGATGTGGAGGTTGTGGTTTTTGAAGTGTGGCCATTTCTGAAGAAGATTGTTGTCGAATATGAGCAGCTGGGAGTGGAGGAATAGCAGCAGCATAACTAACAATATTGCTGTGTTGAGCACTTTGATGACCGCCGCTCTTAAAATAAAAATATTTTTAAATAAAAAATTAATTATTTCCTACAGCTGAGGCAGCAACCAACAATCCACCGCCCTCTGTATCAGAACCACCTTCATTAATCATTTGGGGATGTGTGCTATAATCTTGTTGTTGCTGTTGTTGAGAACTCTATTTAAATTATTTTTTAGAGGTTAAAAAATTCAAAAAAATTTTTTTTCTTCTCTTACATGGCCAGATTCACTCGATTGTTGATGAATTAAATGCCTCTGTTGTTGACCAAAATTCCCTCCACCTCCTCCAACAGCAATTCCACTATCTGCAGAATATTGTGGAGGTGAATGTGGTTGTTGTTGTCCCCCACCTCCCATTCCTCCAATTATTCCACCATTCCATTCAGAAGTATTTGAAGTTTGTTGTAAATGTCTTTGACGTAATTGTTGTTGTTGTTGAGCAAATGGAGGGAGTGGGGGCATTTGATTAAATGCAATGTTTTGTTGACTAGAAGAGGGGAAAAATTATTTATTTAAAAATTTAAAAAATATTAACGATGAAGAAGAGATTGGACCAACTGCAAATGCATTAGAATAATCATATTGTTGATTTTGTGGACTAGAATAATTAGTTTGAGAGTGTGGTTGCTGTTGATGATTAAATTGAACATGGTTAGCCATTACATGATTATGAATCGGTGTAAGCATTGGAATGGCAGATTGACTAAAGAATAAGGAATTTTTAAATAATTAAGAAATTGGGTACTTTTTGGATATCCAGTCCCTGAAACAATTTTTTGACTGCATTTCACTTAAATTGCTTCAGGAAAATAAAAATCATAGAGAAGGAAAAATAAGAGACTCAAATTAGGGGGACGGGATATCCAAAAAGTACCACAAATTATAAACACTCACTGTCCTCCAGGAGTTCCAGACCTTTGCATTGCTGCTCTAGCACGTAATAATTCTACGCCGGGTTGTTTAAAACTTGGATCAAACTGTGCAGCATAAATACGGGCAGTGTCTCCATCATCCCTTGCTCGATCAGCAGCTTCAACGCTAGCATCAGCGCGTTCCTAAAAAACATTTAAAATTTTTTTTCTATTTTTAAAAAATACTTGTGCTGTCATTGTTCTTGATGTAGCAATTTCAACACGTTGTGCAGCTAAATTTAATTTTATTTAAAATAATTTATTTACAGTAAAAAACCCATGTCAGCAGCTTGCCTAGCATGTTCAGCATAAATTTCTACTCGATGCCTCAATTTTGTTGAACGGACAAAAAGGATGCCTTTCCGTCTAGCTGAGCTAACAAGAACATTGTGTTTATATCTTCCCTCTTCTTTACTACAAAAAAATTTTTTAGCCTTTAAAACCTTAAAAAATACTAACGTTCCATCCCTGAAGAAGGTTACTCCATATCCATGTTTTCTATTATCTAACCATTCCCCAGCATAACGAAGACCGTCTGAACGTTCACAAACACCATAACCGGAGCGCATGTCATTTTTCCATTCACCTCGGTAAATCTCTACGGCGTTGGCGTCGATTGGTGGTTCCTCTAATGTTGCTGCCTAAATTTTTTAGAAACAAAAATGAAAATCGAGGTAAATCAAAAAGGAATGACGGACCTTTAGGGGAGCGGAATTACTTAAAGGAGCACAAAATAGGGCTCTATCTTAGGTCTCAGATTTAAATCCCAGACCCAGTGGGCGTAGGTCCCGAACATGAAGAAATGCTTTGGACCATACCTCAACTTTGCAACACAAAGAAGAATCAAATTTTTTGTTGATGGGACGCATATACTTTCATGGGACGCATGTCCTAAGATAGAGCCCAAAATAATACTAAAATCGTGAGGAAAACTCTTAAAAACCAATTTGGCCTCTCCTCCCTAGTAATGCCAAATAAGGTTCTTCGGTTCGGAACCGACCCGAAAACCCGAAGATTTTCGGTTCAGTTTCGGATATCCAAAAGTTTACAAAGAACCGACGACAATAACTCTTAAAAAGTGATTATTTAGGCCCCTTATTCCCTTGTTATTCTAGTAGTGCCAAAATTATCTACTCGAAAATTTAAAAAAATGAAACCTCCGCAGCAACTCTAGAACGTTGAGAATTTGGAGGATGCCTCAAATCGCCCGAATCTTCTTCATCAGAAGTACAGCTTAAAGTACTTCCACTAGAACGAAGTGAAGAAGCGCCACCAGCAGAAGAAAAAACTCTTTGTTGGTGAATAATGTCTCCGGTAGAATTTTGTTTTCTAATTCGTTGAAGAATACCTTAGGAAATGATAAAAATAAATAAAATTTAAGACAATTTTTCAAACTTCTCTTCACTGCCAATGAACGCTCTGAGAGAGAACGGCGTCGTTTGTTAGTACCCGAATAAGCTTTAAGCACAAAACCGCCTCTACTTTCATCTGAAAAATTCATTTAATAATTCTTTACAAAGGTCATAGATCCAGAAAATAAAATGAGGTTCTCTTATTGTCAGCAGAGGTCGGTCAGAACTGATTTCCGAGATCCGACTTTTAGATCATTTCTGGTAGTTCCGGCACCTTAGTTATTTCCGACCGACCCCTGATTGTCAATTTTACTCACAAGTCCGCAAAAATTATCCGCGAGTTAATTTTCTAATAAAAGGATTTAAAAAACTTTCGAACCAAGACAGTTGATTTAGAACTCTAGAAGTACAGTCTTGCGGACATTATTTGCGGACTTCTTATGTTTTATGAAAAGAACCCAAAAAAAAGACAAAAACTCTACCCAGTTGAGTTGTTTGTTCACCCCTCCTTTCTCTAGAATGTGATCTGCCGTGATGATTGGGAGGTGTATCCATTGCAGTTGCTGCCCTTTCATCATCCAACATGGCAACACTTCCATAATTTGAGCGTAGGGAACTTAGAGACGTATGTCCTCCTCTATGTTTTTGTTGCTGTTCTGAGTGGTGTTGGTGGTTATTCGGGGTTGCTACACTCCAAGGCGCGCTTGTTCGAATTCCATAACCATGCCGCATACCGCGCAGCCATTGGCCTTTATAAGAGCCTGGAAATTTTTTTTAAAGATGAGTGAGTGTGAATAAATTAAAAAAACCTCCATCAGAATATATTTCAGTTCCATAACTGAAAAGTGAAAAATAAAAATTTTAAACAGAAAAATAAAATCAAAACCCATCGTGAAGTCCACTTGACCACGTCCCCAGATAATGAGCACCAGAGTTGAGCGCCTCTCGACGTCCATACCGGCCTTTATATCCCTGCGTCCATTCACCTTTATAGGTCCACCGGCCGCGCTGTTCAACACCGAGGCCGTGACGCTTCCCGTTTTGCCACTGACCAGAATAAGTACTGCCAGAAGGCCAGGTATAGACACCAGAAACCTGGGAAAAAATTAAAAAATTTTTAATTAAGAAAAAAACCTCAAATCCATAGTGCCATGCTCCAGTGTATTCTCCCTGTCCATCAGGCCCTGTACAAACACCATGTCCATGTGCCTTTCTAGAAAACAAAAAAATCATTTCCTTATAAAAAATCATTTCCCCTATAAAAAATCATCTTTTTACCCTTCCTCCCATCCACCACAGTATGTCCCGCCATCGTCAAAATCAAAACGGCCACCGTTCATGTGCTGGTTGCTGGCCGCCCCCAACCAACTCTATATAATTATATACAGAGTTTAATAATGAAAGTTGTTTTTACTGTTGCAACACACACAATTAGACTGTTACAACAACTACAGAATAACAAAAAAAACTGAAAATTTAATGTTAAATTATGATAAGCAAAGTTAAAATCAAAAAATGTAAAGTCTTAAAAAAGGAGAGAAAATTTTTCATACTAAAAAAGTGAAATCAAAAACACGGAGGAAAAACCATGATCAAAATTTATGAGAGATCAACACAATAATCTAGTGTTGATCTTTAGGGTATTTAGTGAATTTTTAAATCAAAGTAAAAACAAAGGAATTTTAAATCAAAATAAGAAACCAAAAAAATCAAAAAAATTTTTGACAAATAAAATACAAAAAAGAGCGGAAAAAAGAAACTTGGATGTGCGTGTTTCTATTAAGTTGCGTGTTTAAGATGCTTTTTTAGGGAAAAAGGAAAGGGATTCAAGTAAAAGCAGAGGAACAAATAAAAAAATTTTTGTCAAAAAATTTTTTAAACCTTAAAGCAGGGTAGCATTCCGACTTTTCGGGGTCGGGAGTGTCGGGGGATCGGAGGGTTTACCGGGGTAAGGCCTTCAGTGTTCGAGTCGGGGGTTTTTGCCAAAAAAAATCTTCGGGTAAAGCCGGGTAGCTCAACAATTCTGGGTCGAGAGTGTTGGGAATCGGGAGGGGGGGGGGGTTACCGGGCTAGAGCCTTCGGGGTTCGAGTCGGGGTTTTGCCAAAATAATCATTGGGGTCTGGGTTTTACCCTACTTTAATGCAAAAAATATTTCAAAATTTTCTTTAAAAAATTAAGACAAAAAACCTCTAAAAGTAAGCCATTGAAAGGAAAAGAAAAATGCGCGAAAAATGAAGAAACAAACAAAAAACACAAAAGTCTAACAAACTTTTTGGAAGAGTAAAGGCAAAAAAAAGTAAAGCGTAGGAGGAAAAAAAAGTAGTATATAAAAGAGAAAAGCTGCGCGAGAAGAAGTTATAATATGTTTTTAGTAAATTAATACAAAATGTGTGTGTACATACATATCCTTCCCCCCAAAAAAAATTTTTTTTTCACTCATCGGCTTTAACGCATTCATCACACAAAAAAACGAGACTTTTCTCAAGCAAGTTACAAAGTCGTTGCTTATAAGCAATAGATATATTACTCTAACAAAAGGATGTTTTTTTTTTCTGTTGGCCGTAAACTATAGGACTTTACTGATACGGATGACGAGGGAAAAAATAAAAATAAGAAGCTTGGAAAAAAAGCTAAGAAAAAACACAAAAAAAGAAGGATGCCCGACATTTTGCCAAAAACACATTTTGCCAATAAGAATAAAAATTCGCGTTTTGCCAATAAGCTTGCTGGCAAAATGGGGGATTTTAGCCTTATTGGCAAAATGTGTTTTTGGCAAAATGTGCTTTCTCGAAAAAAGATAAAAGAAAAAGGAATTCACACCAACCCCTAAATATAAGCCTAACTGTTGTTTGTAAAGCTAGAACAGTGTGCTGCTGATGACATATCCCCCAACAACGGTTTCGTATTTTTTTTTTGAGTTTTTTTTCTTGTTTCCTTTCGCTCTCGATCCGTCATGGACGGCTGGGAAAAGCAGGAAAAGCAAAATTTTGGTGAGGGAAAAAAGGAAAGGGAAGGGAGGGGAGGGAATGTGAGGGAAAAAGAAATGGAAGAAGAGAACTGCTGACAGACAACAAATAATTCATTTGTGGCCCCAAGCTTTTCACTGGGCTATAAAAACGGGCAGGGAAAGAAAATGGGGGATATAGATGAAGCCTGTTGATAAAAAGAGAGGGGGCATAAGAGTCGAGGAGTTCTTTTACTTTTTGAGGTACAACTTGGGAAAGAGCTTTTCAGTATGAGATAGAATATGAATTTTTTGATTCATGATATGTAGCTACTAGAGATCGAGCTTGGTTGGACCAATGCCTGGGGGTTTTCCTGTACCCAGAGTCCGGGCCCAGGCATTTTTTGACCTTCCTGGGGGGGGTTTCATGGACTACAGGCCCAGGTCAATAAATCAAACCCAGAGCCTAGGAACAGGCCCAGGCTTTTCAAAAATCTCGATCTCTAGTGGCTATAAATTAAAGCTCGAAAAAAATCTTTAAAATGATCCCAAAAATCATTTTACAAAAATTGATCAAGCATTTTATTAAGAGGTTGGTGTAATGATCTAATAAATAAAAATATTTGTGTGTAAATGCAAGTAAGCAATCGATGAGAGATTTTCTAGCTTACACACAATTAAAGCTTATCCCACACAATGATTTTAAAAGCGACCGGGATCAGCGGCGGTTTATTCTTCTTCTTTTCCCTCTCTTTCTACTAATTCCCACCCTCACAAAGTTATCTTTCTAAAGAACTTTAAAACACTAAAAAGCAAGAAAAAAAATGAAAGCTTTGAAGAGAAGGAGATAAATGAGGGAAGTAAAAATAGAAGAAAATCGACGTAGAATTGATCAACAAAAAGTTATCAGGCTATTGATAACTGTCGGATATCGATATCAGCCTCTTCCCGATATCACCCCTTTCCTTGTTATGCACAATTCGGTCCCAAAGGATGTGCCCCATAAGAATGTGTGACCTTATTATAAGGCATCCTTGGGGCTGAAAGAATCGTATCTTATAATGAGATGTATCTTAAATAGAGGTGTATCTAATATTGGGGTCGCTTATAATGAGCAGTGCATTACATAGAGGGTATCAATTAGACAGTCCTCCAATCTAGTGGCACTTTTAAAAGGTTGTACCTTAAATAGAGGTTTATCTAATATTGGGGTCTCTTATAATTAGATGTACCTTATAATGAGATGTACCTTACATAGAGGGTATCAATTAGACAGTCCTCCCTAGTGGCCAACTCGCTTATAAAAAGCTGTCCTTAAAGAGAGGGTATCTATTATTGGGGTCTCTTATAATGAGGTGTACATTACATAGAGGGTATTGCTTAGTCAGCACCTCTCATCCAGTGGCCAACCAAAATTTAAAAGCTGTACCTTAAATAGAGGGTATCTAATATTGGGGTCTCTTATAATGAGGTGTACCTTGCATAGAGGGTATTGCTTAGTCAGCACCTCCCATCAATTGGCCAACTAAAATTTAAAAGCTGTACCTTAAATAGAGGGTATCTAATATTGGGGTCTCTTATAATGAGGTGTACATTACGTGGAGGGTATTGCTTAGTCAGCACCTCCCATCAATTGGCCAACTAAAATTTAAAAGGATTTTAAATTGAAGGTATCTTAAATTGAGGTGACATAGTCTGTTGATATTCTGGGTCAGAGCTTAGAAGATATACCAAAGGGCCAAATCTTTTAAAGAACTTGTTGGGGTGGTTGTGGCTTATTCTTCTTCCTTTCTATCCTTTTCCCTTGTTCCCGCATTCTTTAACTTTTTCCCTTCTTCCAGTCTCATTGTGTTCTGTGGGGCTATTGGTTGCCTTTTATTTTATAGACAAAAATTCCAACTTTAAAAAAATAAAAGAAGTTAAAACTGACACCCAAAGAGAGAATGGAAAGGAATCTGCAAATAAATGGATTTGTGTTGGTATGTGAAAATAAAGCTTGGTTGGTGGTAATAAAGAAGAAACAAAAAAACTTTGAGAATAAACTGGAAAGATTTTCAAAAGAAAGAAACAGAGAAAAAAATTTATTGATCCAACCAGGATCCGAACCCGTACCCTTTACCATAATGCTAAACATCCATAAAATCCACTTAACCACAAATCACTGTCCAATTGTTATGTGACCAAATGTCCTCTGGCCAACTGTCTTCTTCGTTGGCCAAATGTCGTTTGGCCAACTGTCGTTTGGTTATTCTCTGGCCAATTGTTCGTTGGCCAACTGTCTTCTGACAAGTTGTCCTATTGCCACTTAAAAATTAATTGGCGTTTTGTCATTTATTTTTTTTAAATTTCATTTGTGTCAAGATTTTCGTTAATTCTTTCTCAAGATTTTTAAAATTTTATTTTCAGATTTAGGTATCTTTAATTAAATTCTAGTAAATTTTGTGTAATGACGCTTGATAAAACCAATGAAGGTTGTTAATTTAACGAGTTTTAATTTAAATATTTTTTAAGTGAATGAAAAAGATGAGGAAGTACCAAAGCAGGATTGGCTTTTGAAGCAAGACCTTTCAAATTTGGATCCTTCAAAGTTGACACCCTTAACTGAAGAGGTTTGAAGTTTCAATGAATGTTAAATAATCGTAATTTTGAAGGTGATAAGTCGTCAGGCAACAATTAATATAGGTAAATAATTAAGGTTTTTTGTTCATTAAGTTGTGCTGTGGTGTAGTGGTTTGTGTGCTTGATTCTCGCTAGAGTGCGGACAGGATCCTGTTGCTGGATCCTGAGCCGAAATCCCGTATTTTAAGCAACGAGCGGGATTTACGGGATTAGTTAATCCCGTAAAATTAATCCCGTAAAAAATTTTGAAAAGAATCACGTTACGGGATCCCGAGCATGCGATTTTCGCATTCTAGTTTTCGCTCATAAGTTGACTTTGATTTGATGTCTCTTATTTTTGGGGTTGTCTGCGTCGTTAATTTTAGTCTCTGCGTCGTAATCCGAGTTGTCTTTGTAGAAAAGTTTTCTATTTTTCTGAAAAACCCCTAAAATTTTACAAGTTTTTTTATTAACAAAAATCTATACCTCACTTTAAGGCACAATTGGACATGTAGCTCACGGCAAATCTACTCTTGTCAAAGCAATTTCTGGTGTTCACACAGTTAAATTTAAAAATGAATTGGAGAGAAATATTACCATTAAACTTGGATATGCTAATGCAAAAATATATAGATGCTCTAATCCTGAATGTCCACGTCCACATTGTTACAGGTTTCTTTAAATGATTATTTTTTAGAAGACTTTAAAAATCCAGGTCAGCAGGTTCGAGCACCCCTGATCGTTTTAAATGTGAACGGCCAAATTGTACGGGTGACTATGTTTGTGTTCGTCATGTTTCGTTTGTTGATTGCCCGGGGCACGATATTTTAATGGCTACAATGTTGAATGGAGCTGCTGTTATGGTTTGTTTAAATTTTAAATAAGGTGGTTATACCTCAAAGATACCACTAATTATCAAAACCCGGGCTTGATTGTGAGACATGACCCAAGAAATTTTCAAACCTTGACCTTAACTCCGATCCACTGAAAATTTTAAACTCCGATCCGAAACCCGAGTTTTTCTTAACCGTCAACATCCCTTATAGAAATCGTAAAACTTTAAGCCTTCTGAAAAGCCCGTTTTTATAGGCTCTCAAAATTGGGAAATTTTCTTAATTTATTTTATGATTAGAGTTGTTTGCGATCAGTTAATTTTTGGATATGGCGCGTCTGATGTCTCTAAAATTCCCCATTTGAGCTGCCACAGTCGAAAATTAATCGTTCGCTAACAACCCTAGAATATAAATTAAATATAAATTACAAAATTTTTACAGGACGCAGCTCTCCTTTTAATTGCTGGAAACGAAACTTGTCCGCAACCCCAAAGTTGTGAACACTTGGCTGCTGTTGAAATTATGCAATTAAAAAATTTGATAATTTTGCAAAACAAAATTGATTTAATAAATGAAAATCAAGCAAATGATCAACATGAACAAATTAAATCTTTTGTCAATGGAACGTGTGCTGAATCGGCTCCAATTATTCCAATATCTGCACAGCTGAAATATAATATTGATGTAGGTTTTTTTAATTCTGAATTTTGGAAAGGGGGTTTCTTTAGAAATTCTTTTAATTTCTGTCTGGTCATTGAGGAAAAATTTTCTTTTGTTTACGTGGCCTTTTTTCTACACTAGTTCAGGGTTCGCATTCCTACTTTTTTAAAAGTATTCTACTTTTAAATCGACCTCCATGCTTACGAAATTGCATTTATACTTTTTTGAAAGTATATACTTTTTTTGATTGAAAATGAAATTGGGGAAGGGATTGGGCAAAAAAGTGAATTTTCTGGCCTACGGCCTCCACAATTTTCAAAATTTTCGCCTGCGGCGCAAAAAATGGAAGAAATCTGGCTTAAGGACCTACAATATTCTCAAAATTTTCGCCTGCGGCGCAAAAAATAGATTTTTTGGCACCTTCGGCGCCACAAAAGGTGCATTGAAATTGACAAAAATGCTCAGTTGAAACAAGAAATTATTAGAAAAGATTCATTTAGGAGATAAATATGAAATATTTGAGGACGAATAAATATTTTCTAATTTAATTTTGAGACTACTTTTTTTTTGCAAATTTTCTCCCTATATACTTTTTTATCGAGATTTTGATACTTTTGAGTGGCATTTTGTCGATGCGAACCCTGCACTAGTTGCTTTTTGAAATTTTTTTCAAATTTAATGGGGAAATTAAACCTTGTAATAAATTTTAAAAAATATTGTTTAGGTTCTTTGTGAGTATCTTTGTAAAAAAGTTCCAATTCCTCTTCGTGATTTTACTTCAGAAGCTAGACTTATTGTTGTACGCTCTTTTGATGTAAATAAACCTGGTGCAGAAGTTGAACAGCTTAAAGGAGGTGTTGCTGGTGGTTCAATCCTTAAAGGTTCATTTTATTTTTTAATTTTTTGATTTTTTTCTGAAATTTTAAGTATGTTCTTAGGTAGAAGGGGAACCAATCCTTACTCTTTTTGGTTCTAGTGCAGTTAATGAGTCCAATCAAACGGAATTTGGATTTTTCTTTTTGTTTCAACGTTGGGGTTTGGTTCCGTTACAGTTTTTCATGTTGAGGACCTAAGCACACTGGGGACCTATTTCCACTGGGTCTGGGACCGTTCACTATCCTATTCCTCGAAAATTTCTGAAAGTTGCAATCGTCTTTCTGAAATTTTTAAAAATTGGCTATAACTTTCAGAATTTTCGAGGAATTGGGTAAGGGGCCATTGTTGGGTTTTTCTCTAAACAAAATTTATTTTTGAATTTTTAAGATTTTCTTTTTACTAGATGGGGACCTATTTGAGGTTGCAAAATTTTCTTCTTAAAGGTATTCTTCGTATTGGCCAAGAAATTGAAGTTCGTCCAGGAATTGTTAGTAAATTATCTGATGGAAAAGTTCAATGCCGCCCAATTTATTCAAAAATTGTTTCTTTATTTGCTGAACAAAATTTGCTTCAATATGCAGTTCCTGGTGGTTTAATTGGTGTTGGAACACAAATAGATCCGACACTTTGTCGTGGTGATAGATTGGTTGGTCATGTATTGGGTGCTGTGGGAACTTTGCCTGATATTTATACGGATATTGAGGTTTCTTTTGTTTATTATGGATAGGATAGGATCAGGCCAGAAGGGGGTCAACTCCCAGAATGGTTAAAATGGATTTTTGAGAGAGCAGGTGCGTTTCCAGGGGGCCGATTTCGGATGGGGGGGGGGGGGGTAGTATTGGGTTACGCCAAAAAATTGGCGTTTACCTTGGCGTTTCGGACGCAAATTTTTGGGCGGATTAAGATGGATTTTTTGGGATTAATGAGCAGACGACAGAAATTCCTTTTGTGGAACTGTCAGATAAGGCAAGAGAGCGTAGGACACTTTATTGTTGCTCTTGAGTCCATTTTATCCGCTTGAATTTTTGGAGTTGACTTCCATTGGTAATTGATCACTAGGGAGTTGGCTTTTTGTTTATTATAAAACAATAGTTTAAAAATTAAAAATTAGGTTGCCTACTATTTGTTGCGTCGTTTACTTGGTGTTCGTACTGAAGTAGGCAAAAAAGCTGCAAAGGTAGCAAAATTGTCTAAAGGTGAAGTACTTATGGTAAACATTGGGTCTCTTTCAACGGGTGGACGTGTAACTGCTGTAAAAGGTTTGGAACTTTTTCAGATAAAATTTGTGGGGTTTCGATGATTATAGTTCGAAATGCCGTAATACCAAACTCTCAAAAGACACCGAAATGTGAAATGTTTAAACAAATTTCTACGTGATTGGAGCACCTACTTATATGTGTATTAGAGATCGGCCTGGGTCTGGACCAATGTCTGGGTTTTTCCTGCACCCAGAGTCCAGGCTCAGGCATTTTTTGACCTTTCTGGGGTTTTCCTGGACTACAGACCCAGGATCCAGTCCAGGCCATTAAATGAAACCCAGAGTACAGGAACGGGTCCAGGCTTTTCAAAATTTCCGATCTCTAATGGGTATTTGTATTCTTTAACAGTTTGGTATTTTGGCAGTTTTGTGGGGTTGGTATCGGCATTTTTGGTATTACGGCGCTCTATTTTGCGGATATTAAAAATCGATATTTTCATTTTCTACTCAATCTATTTTTAAGGAGAAGCAGCAAAAATATCTTTAACTGATCCAATATGTACTGAAATTAATCAAAATATTGCTTTGAGTAGACGTATTGATAAACATTGGCGTTTAATTGGTTGGGGAACTATTAGAAGAGGAACTAAGATTCCAATCTAAATAAGCATAAAAAATTATTTTAATTATATTTTCTCGTTTTGTGTGTTATCCAGTGTGTTATTTTTAAATAAAAATGTTAAAAAAATTTAAAAAAATTTTTTAGAGGTTAAAAATCCTTCAAATATTTAATTTATTTTTTCTAATGCTTTTTAGTTTTTTACAGAATTTTATGCAAAAAAGTGTTGCCACTACAAACTTTCTTCATCCTAGAGTTGTGCATCATAGAAGAAATTTGGCAACTGCAAAGGCAGCAGTAGATCAAATTCTTCGTGCAAATGAAAGGACAATTATATTTTCTGGTGATGAACAACAGGCAATTGGTAAATAGGTTTTTTTTGTTATTATCGTTATTGGGGGGGGGGGTGTTTATTAACGCTAGTGGGGTTTCTTAATCCCTTGCGTATTTCTATGAAGAAATTTTAAGTTTTCTTTCTATACATATCAGGGAACGAGCCGCCACGATTTACGAAAATTGAGAATTCCCACGATTTTTAGGGTCGCGATCCCGATTTCCCGAAATCGGGAATTTCATTTTTGGTCGGCGCGTTCCCTGATACATATCTTCGAGGGGATTTGCGGACTTATTTTTCTAGTTCGAACAAGCCATCTTATGTTGTTAATACCAATTTTTGTTTCCAATTCTGACTTTTAACCTTATTTTTCTTGAAATTAATCTATAAATTTAAAGCTCGAGTGGATGTCGGCCAGGTTTCAGCGAACAAGCCTATAGAGGTTTGAATTATTTTTAGTCCTTAAAATTTTGAAGCTTGAATTTCAAGGATTTCTACTCTGCTTCAAAATGCTTAAATTCGAATGCCTTTCTTCTTGGAGTTTTTGATGGACATGGAGGAGCGGTTTGAATTTTCACTTTTTTATTTTTTTAAATTTTTATTTAGACTTGTGCTAGGCATGTTTGTACACGTCTTTACGACTATATTTGTTGTTCGGTTTTGGATAAACATCGGTTGGTTAGGAGGAAAAAATTGATTTCTAAACACTTTTTAGTGTTGTTCACATGCCAATAGGAGAACAACTTCAATGGCTTTTTGGCAGTGCTACTCCGTCCCTTCCAGCTGATATTGACCAAGTACATCAGCGAAATATAAGAGAATATTTTAAAAGGTTTATTTATTGTTTTGAATTTGGAAAAAATTAAAAAAAAATTTTTTTCAGAATTAAAAAGAAAAGCAATTGTCCACTTACGACAGTCCGGGATACTCTCCAAACTTCTTTTTCAGTTTTGGATGAGGACTTGGCAAAAAGTGCAATGCCTGACCAAAATGGATTGGTTTGCAGGTTTTTTCTTTGAATTTTTTATAAAAAATATTTTTTGTTTTTTTTTTCTAAAATAATTTTTTTATTCAAATTTAGAATGTCTGTAAATGCGGCTGTTAGCGGATCATGTATATATTTTTTCTTTTATGAATTTTTTTCTATAAATTTTAGGTGCTCTTGTGTCACATATCCGCAGGAATAATTTGTATTTTTTTATTTAAATCCAGCAAAAAAAAATTTTTTTTAATTTAAAGACATGTAGCATCCTGTGGAGATTCTGCAGCTGTTCTTGGTGTTCATTTGGCAAATGATGTAATTGCACGACAATTGACAAGGCCGCATACAGTTGAAAATTTGGATGAAATTGCTAGGTCATTTTTTTCACTTAATAACTTTATGATCTCGTCAATCCTTCTCCTTTGTCTAGGAGAAAGATTGCCTAGATTCTCTCCTCTCCATTTAACAATAAGTTGTTGGGGTTCCACTCTAATTTAATTGGATCCTTTCATAAGTCCATTAAAGGATGAAAAGGTAGTCGTTTACTTGAAGCTAATCGTTTACTTGGAGAACTTTAATCCATCATAAGGGAGTAATTCGTCGTAAGGGGAGTTATCCTTAACGGAGATAATCCGTCTAGAGGGTAATCCGTTATTTAAAGGCTGCTCGGACACACTTATCATTAAATTTGTAAACCCTAATTTCTCTTTTTAGGATTCGTTCTGCACATCCCCCTTCAGAAAATCGAACAATACTTAAAGCCAATCGTTTACTTGGAGAGCTTTATCCTCTTAGAGCATTTGGCGATGTTCGGTTTAAATGGCCAAAAGAATTACAAAGTATTTTTAAAAAATAATTTTTTGTTTAAAAAACATTTTTAGAAGTTGTACTTGACCCCCTTGGAATGCCTGCACCTCAACATTTATTAACACCTCCATATTTGACTTGCCTGTTAATTTTTTAAATTTTTTTTAAATTTTCTAAATTTTTAGCCCAGAAGTTTTTTATCATCAATTGACATCCAATGACCGTTTTTTGGTGAGAAAATTTTTTATGATAAAAATTTTAATTTATTTTTTAGGTGCTAGCAACAGATGGTAAAGCAAAGAGATTAATTTTTACGCTAGAAAAAATTTTTTTGAGGTCTGTGGGAATTCTTAGATTCAGATGCAGTTGTTAGATTAGTAGAAGATCATATGACAGGACATTCAACACTTAATGTATTTAGACCAGAGCATAAACAACCACTTGGAGATGTAAATACAGAGTTTAATTTCAAAATTAAATATGTTTTTAAAAAATATTAGTCGGACCTTTACTATAAGAGACATCCAATAATAGGGCACTATAAGATAAATATCTTTTTTTAGGTTTTGTTACCCATAGGGGGGAATAACAGCCTAAGCAATACCCATTAGAGATGGGACGGGTCGAGAAAAAAGTCGGGTCGGGTTTTCAAAATTTTTTTCGGATCGGGTTTCAGGTCGGAAAAAAGTCTGGGTCTCAGGTCGGGTTTCGGATAACCCGTCCCATTCCTGATATCTATACCCTGATGTCATGGGTTGCCCGATGCCACGGATTTCGACCCAAAGTTTTTCGATCTGAGGAAAATTTTGGAAATCCTGGCCCGTATTTTTTTCACTCCGTGACATCCCCATCCATACTGCAAGATAACTCTAGATACAATTTTGTAGTCCCAAGGAGGTATTTTATTGAGGTTCGACCGTCTTTAATTTTAAGTATTTTTTCTTCAAAATAAACAATTTTTCTTTTTCCAGATTCTCAACAATTTGGAAAAAAGGCAGTCTGCTGACAACAAAAAACCTTTAGACGAAAATTGTGCTACTCATTTAATTAGAAATGCATTGGGTGGTGTTTCTGGAGATGTAGAATTGCAATATGCGAGATTAGAGGTTTATTTGAATTTCAAAATTTTTTTAAAAATTCTCTAAAAAAAGGAAATGTTAATGTTACCCCCTGGAATGGCTAGACACTACAGGGATGACATAACGGTAAAAAAAATTTTTTTTGAAAATTTTCAAAAAAATTTTTTTTAATATTAAAAAGGTTGTTGTAATCCAATTTAATGAAAAATATTTATTAGAAGACCACGAAGATGATGGTGGTCATTTTTGACTTTCTCACTCTCAGACTTGTAGCCATAGATTTAAAAAACTGCTTTTATTTTTTTTAAATTAGTTTTTCAGCTTTAGAAAGCTTTAATTATTTTTAAGAGAATAAGGCTTTAGATTAATTTTGGGAAGGGAGGGAGTCTGCAAAAAAAATCCACAATTTTTATAAAAATCCGCAAAAAAAGTCTGCATTTTTCACAAAAATCCGCAAAAAAAGTCCGCAATTTTTTTGTAAAAATCCGCAAAAAAAGCCCGCAATTTCTGTAAAAATCCGCAAAAAGAATCCGCAATTTTCTGTAAAAATCCGCAAAAAAAGTCCATTTTTCTATAATAATCCGCAAAAAAAGTCCGCATTTTTACTTTAAAAAATTTTTTAAAATTTAATTTTTAGCCTTATTTTCTTTAGGTAAAAAGGACTTTTTATTTTTTGTTTTACGGGCCAAAAAAAATATATATTTTACAAAATATAACTCAAAATAATTTTTTATTATTTTTGTAATTTTATTGTATTAAAATGCCCTTATAATATTTTTTAAAAATTCAAATTATATTTTATTTGTCTTATTAACATCTTTTAGAGGTCCATAAAATTCCTTTCCTAATAAATTACAAATAATAGGAAGTCGATCACTGCCCCAAAATGAGAAAATCTAGAAAAAGAAAAATTTTTTAAAAAATTTTCTAATAACCCGCCTAACTTTAGGGTGATCGAGGTTTTGGGTACCTAACTTGGACTCGTCGGGGGTATTCTTCTTATTGTTAATTTCTTTCTAATAGCCAACGCTAGGGTTGGGGTCTTCGAGTCGGGTCGACGTTCGAGTTATTTTTATCGGGTCGGCCCGACCGAGTCTTTTTCGGGCCAAAATTTAATGACCGACTAGATCTTTCGGATCGGGCCCCCAACCCTAAGCCTAAAACTATCCGAGGTGACCAAAGTTCGTCCGGCTCGTGTATGTCTAATCAGTTCGCTAACAACTTGAAAATGTCAGGAAAGACCAAGACAGCCTTACTAAAAATTTAAAAATTAAAACCTCTTCATTTCCAGATATATTCCTTTTGAGTGTTATCCATGGTAGTCCAAAAGCCCCTAATTTAATCACTTCGTTTGTCCTCTCCTTGAGCAAATTACTTGCATCTGTTGATTGAGTTGCTTCTAATAAATTTTTTTCTTCAGGGATGTTTAACTTTTTACAAATCTGAAAAAAAATTTTTGGTGTCACGGGTCATTCGAACTCGATAAATGAAAACCGGACTTTCTCACGACGCGAAACCAGGCTTCTCTCTTAATCCCCCCCCTAACTGTCACAGCTTTTTCTCAACCCGTAACATCCCTGATCTTAAGTTCCCCCCTTGGCCCCCCTCCTGAAAAAATCCTGGTTACGGGTTTGTCAAAAACTTAATAATCTATATTTAACCTCTATAATCGTGTCAATTCCATAAAAAGGCTCGTGCCGACTCCATGCCTTCATCCAATATTCGCGCGATGCGTTTATTAAATATTCCGGAGCATTTAATTTAAGCCGTTAAAAATCGTGGCGGATTCAATGTTGAATTATTCATAAATTCCTCTTTGAAGTCCGAAAAATTATGAAAAAAAAAGTTTATATAATTAAAAATTTTAAAAAAACTTTGGAGGGTTGAAGAGGAATTCCCCAATAAGCTCCAACCAACATTAAATCTTTTTGAGAGTAGTTAGCTTTCTGAGGCATTTGCATAGCATTTGGAATATTTTCTATAAATTTTTAATTAAATTTTTGATTAAAAATTAATTTTTTAATAATTTAAAAATTATTTTCCACGAGTAGGATTCGAACCTTGGACCCCTTAGTGCACAAAACCGAACACTATCCAACTACACCAAACGAAAAATTTTTTTAATTTCTATTTAAAAACCCAACTGTGGCTACAAAAATTAATTTTTAAATAATTTAAAAATTATTTTCCACGAGTGGATTCGAACCTTGGACCTCCTAAACCGAACACTATCCAACTACACCACCGAATTTTTTTAAAAATTTTTATTAAAAACCTACTAGTAGCTTTGAAAATATGCCCAATCGAGACTGGCAATAACTCAAGTTGAATATTCAATATTTTTTCATAGCGAAGTAAACTCTGGAGAGTTGAAAATTTAAAAAAATTTTAAATTTTAAAAAACCTCAAAAGCAACCCAAGAATAAGGAGACCCAATATCATAATATAATTTTAATAGAGGCTTTTGTATTGAAGACATTTTTTGGTTTAATTTTTCACAATCTGATTCTTCCACAATAAAATCAATCAAAAAATCGGCCGTAAAAATAAAGGAGAAAATTGATTTTGAAGGGCAGAAGATCACCTCCTTAAAGGACAACATCATTTTAACGGTGATCTTTAGGGTGAGGCTTGTTATAAATTCAATTTCAATAATTGCTAGACTCTAATGGTCGTTGATATTTTATTTTGGCTGTCTTTGATTTTGCACATTTTTTCGTTCCAAACAGGACACATTTCACTTTAGTGTATTGATAAAATTAATTTGGTAAAATTAATTGACAAACACAAGTGCAGAAAAAGTGCATAAAAAAGAGACAATTAAAAAAATTTTTTTCTTATCTAAATAAATTATCAAAAAGTTACTTTAAATGTTTGGTGTTTTTAAGATTAGCATACAAAATTTATGTGATGTTTCTCGTTTTTAAATTTCCAAATCCTTAAGAAAATGGGGAAAAATTAGCATTCACATATTCAGACTCTAGTGGGAATTCTGATAAAAATAAAGGAACAAAATTAGTCAAAAGGGTACATTAGAGTCTGAAGGAATCTAGGAGAAAATTTTGATTTTATTTTTCATAAAGAGCAGAGGTGGGTCGGATTTCCGACTTTCCGGCGTTTTTTCCTTCCGATTTCCAATTTCCGAAAAAAAAGTTTAATTTCCGAGTTCCGACTTTTGAGCCAGCTCTTCCGATTTCCGACACCTCCGACTGTTCCGACCCACCTCTGCTAAAGAGCAACACCCTAGAAGTGACTCTTTTGTCTTTATGAATTATTCAGACTCTAACTAGCTTTTTGTCAGACTCAAGTGTCTTTTTTCAAAAAAGTTTTTAGTTGATCTTTTGGGGTGTCTTGTATTTTACAATGGGAAATTTTTGTAGGCAAAAATTTGTTTTATGTGCTCTCCATTTAGAAAAATTTTTGAAGTTGCGTTTGTTTGTGTACACTTTCAAAAAAAAAAGTATTTTATTTCTTCAGTAAAAGTGCAGTCCCAGACGTGTTTACGTTATACAAATATATTTATATAATCTATTGACTTTTGGCAAAACAAGGAAGGGAAAATTTGAAAGTGAAGAGACTGGGTGGGGTGGAGGGGGGTTTTTAAATAAAAAGTTTTTTGGTGGAATTTTTTCATTTTTATTTTAGTTCAGTTTTTTAAGTTTTTTGAATTTTCCAAGGTCGAACAGAGTGTGTTTTGGTGTTAGAGGCCAATACCCTAGAGATCAACCAACACCTTTTAGTCTAAGTATCCAGACTCTAATAGCCTTCTTCAATATCTCCCAGGGATATCACGGCGAATCCGATACACGAAGTCCGAACTTGGACAATTTTTTTTAATAATTTAAAAATTATTTTCCACGAGTAGGATTCGAACCTTGGACCTCTTAAACCGAACACTATCCAACTACACCAAACAAAAATTTTTTTGAATTTTCATTTTAAAAACTTCGAGACTGGAAACCGGACAATTTTCAATTCGAAATCCAATCCGAGAAATTTTTCGAAAATTCGAAACCCAAAAGACTTTCGTTTACCCTGACATTCCTAATCCCCCATTAGAGTCCGAAGATTAGTCGGAACTTATATGGTTTGGGTACTCTTTTTTTAGCCACGCCCTTTTTTGCTTTTCCTTCATCAATCAACCCTAATATGGACAGAATGGTCAGCCTTTCTTTTTTCCTCGATTTTACTTTACTTTTCCTGTGGCATTTTCAGTGAGAGACATTAACAAGGAAAAGATTAATTTTCCTTTCCAATTTCACCAAAATAGAATTAACATTTGAATCAATATTCTTATTTTGATCTATTTCAATTATTTAAATGGCAATAGGTATCCTGGTTCTACGTTTTGGAACTAATGGTCCGGCATTTTATTGTGTTTTCAAGTTTTTGCGTGTTTAAAATCATATTTTTTTACAAAATGCCGACCGTTTTACCTCTTTTTAGAAATATTTGGACCCCTGTAATTCAGCTCAGAGATCTCACGGACCGAGTTTAGTGCCATACGTCTCAGCCCAGCTCGATGAGTCATCCGAGTCAGCTCTATTTCTCTCTTTATTTTAACAAAAAATTGACCTCAACTCAATTGATTGATGGTTGAGAGGGAAAAAGATTAAAAGAATAATGATGGAAAAGGAAAAAAGGGCGTGGCTAAAAAAAGAGTACCCAAACCATATAAGTTCCGATTAGTCGCTTTAAGCTGATTCTAAGCAAGTTGATCTATTAGGTTATGCCTCCAAGAATAGTTCTATTTTTATTTTTTTGTCCTCCAAGACCTCAAAAATTGAATGAACCAACCGAACTAATAAACCAAACTCATGACACTTTTTCTGCAAATTTTTGTGTTTTGTTCGACTACAAAAATTTTGTTGGCAGAAAAATTTTATGTCACACGCAAATTGTGTTCTTTGTTTCTTTTCCTCACTCCCCAGCTTTATGGCTATTTATATAAAAAATCCCTTTTCTGGTCCAAATACGTTAAAAATCATATGATTCACATGTTAAAAACGTGAAAAAATTTTTTTGGAAGAGAAGGGGAGGGGGGAGTTCCATATAATAGCAGTCAGGAGACAAGAGGATGATGAAAAATAGGGGAAAAAAGAAAGGAAAAGACGTGTCGTCACATTTTGCCAATTCCACATTTTACCAATAAAGCTAGAATCCTACATTTTGTCATCAAGCTTATTGGCAAAATGTGTCTTTTTACCCTTATTGGCAAAATGTCGTATAGGCAAAATGTGTAGCAACCGGAAGAGAAAAGGTAAGAAAATAATAGAGAGAGACCGGTCTTGCGTCTAACTACCCCTTCTTTTCTTTTTTTCTTTTATTTTTTTTATTCAATCGAAATTTTCTTTTACTATCAATAATTATTGTGAAGACTTTGGCCTTTTAAAAAATTATTTTTTAATTTTATAATGATCATTTTTTGATATTTTTTAGTACAATTTTTAAAAGGAAGTAAAATTACAGGAATATTCCCTGTTGATTTTTATAAGGGTGATCTTCTGGGGAGTCTTCTAAAGTTTACTTTTTGGGACTTTGTAGGGCCATATCTCGGCCAGATCAAAAAACGGGCAAAAACGGCTCAAAATCCTTGCTAGAAAGGGCACATTCTCTATCGGATGAGCCCGATATCGATAGTTTTTAGGTCGGACACCTCGAAACCTTTTTTTGTTATTCTCCCTGTTGATCTACCTATAAGCAAGTTTGGGTGGTCTAAAGTCTTTAGGATTGTCTCCTAAAAATTTTTTTAATAAAATTTATTTTCAATGTGAGACTCAAACTGCCCCTTTTAATTTTAATTTGACCAAATTCTAACTTTCCTTATTGATTTTCGTAGAGGTGATCTTCTGGGGTTTTCTTAAAGTTGTAAAAAAGTTTATTTTTATTTGAGACTCAAACTGCCCCTTTCTTGAAAAAGGAAAAAATGAGACTCTAACAGCCTATTGATTTTATAATTATTTTTTACTTTCTTTTTAATCTTGTTATTGATAGTAAATATTTGTATTTATTTTTTTAATGGGACTAAGGCGCAGATATCTTCTCTTTAAAGCTTGTCGAGAATGGTACCATTCACGGGAAAAAATTAAAAAAATTTTTTTTTTCGAAAGGGAAAGGTTTGCGCCTTCGTGACCGTACCCGCGTTTTTGCTTGTTTTTTTTCTAAAAAATTTTTCTCTAATTCCCCCAATTTTTTAAAGGTCAATTTATGAATGCTAGAACAAATCAACTCCAATTGACCGCAGAATATCGGCAAATAAAGGATGCCGTTTCAGTGGCATTTCATTCAATTATGGTACATCGGGTACTTGGAAAGGTTTATTTTTTGTTTAATTTTCTTTCAATTTTCTGCCTTTTAGTTTAAATTTTCTTCTGACAGTGATTATAGCCTTGGCTCTCTTGGGCATGAAGAAGTGCCGTGCAATCATGTCGATCTCACTTATGTAAATTTTGATTTTTATTTTATTTTAGGGTGTGGAGAAAGGGTAAAAACGGACTAGATGTTTGGGTTTGGTCTATGATCCGTGAAATTTTAAAGTTTAGAGGTCTGGAGACGTCTAACAATAAGTCCTCATTTATACCCTGCTTATTTATTTAATTACATAGAGCTTTTTAAATGAGATTTATAATAGGAGAGTGGTGGTGTAGTGGTAAAATTCTTGACTAAACCAGTCATTGGATGTGGGTTCGAATCCAGGGCTGGGTAAACTTTTTATTTTTCTTCTTTCTAATTTCCTTTTTTAAATTTAACATTCTAAGCTTTCATTTTGAACTTTTATAATTTTTTGCAGACTTTCTTGGAGACTTGCAGACATTTTTTTAATTTTTAAAAATTTTTAAAAATATCTGCAAGAAAACCAGGTCCCATATTAAAGTTGATGTTCTCCTCTTTCCACCACTCCGGGGAAATTTGTTAAAAGCTTAAATGAAAAATATTTATTTTCAGATACGAGTCAACAGTCCCGAATTTATCGATGACTTTAATGAAAAGGTTTTTTTGTAATTTTTTAATTTAATTAAATTTTCCCCTTTTAAGGTGGACTTATTTGTCGAGGCGGTAACCAAATCATTGAAGGACGGGTATTTTTTAAGTGGAAGTGGAAATCATTTAATATCGCCTTCGTCTGCTCGTGAAGGAGGGAGAATTTATGGAATTGGTTTTTTTTAATTTTTTTTAGAATTTAATTTAAATTTATTTTTAAAAAAGATTGCTGGGAGGACTTGATATCAACACAAATTAAACTTGAATTTTACCAACGTCGGAAACGACAATGGCCAATTCCAGAAGATACTGCTCCGTGGGAAGGTTTCTTTTTTGTTTTTGAATTTTAATAAGAATTAGGTGGGGGTAGAAGGGATGTACCCGAATCGCTGTCTTCTTCGACCTGGCTCACCGGCCTTTTTCTGGGATGGAAGTCGGTAGATCATGGAAGTCGGATAATCCCGTGGCCCACAGGCCCATTCCTGGGGCGGAAGTAGGTAGAGTCCACAAATTCCTTCCACGAAATACCTTTTGATTAATCCCTGGATAATCCAGTTCTTCAAATCAAACCATTAGTTAATTGTGGTTTATCCCCCCTTTTCTTCCCCCGAATTCTTTGTATTAATCCCTGGATCCCGCATTTGTTGGTTTATCCCCCCTTTTTCCTCCCCACAGAAAAAATCCAAAAACTGCTTTTTGAGAATTTTTTTAACGGGTTAATCTGGTTGTGTGGGGGAATAATTCAATCATAGCTTTATAAGTAGGGTTGGGGTTTTTGAGTCGGACCGACATTGAGTCATTCTTTTCGGCCGGCCTGATGAGTCTTCTTCGGGCTTCATTTTTGGACCGGACCATTACTCCAACCCTAGCATGAGATTTTTTTAATCCGCAAAAGTTTGTCCGCAAATATGGACGTTCCAATAATTTCATAAAAAAATTCTTTAAATTTTTTTTTAAATTTAGTTTGGGAATTACATCTAAATCTTGTTCGTACATTAAATAACGGTTTGCTTTTAAATTTGTTTTCTAACTAGTTTTTATTTTTTTAGAAGATTTTTTTCGAATGCGAGAATATGTGGCTGAACAACTTTCTGATAAAGTTTTGACAATTTGTGAGCTTATGAATAAACCGCAATATTTGCCAAAAATTCCAACACGGCTGGAGATTACTTCTGTTTTTGATATTCGCTTTCCAAATTGTGACCCTTATTTGTGGCGATTGGATTCGGAACATGGTTTTCTTTTTTATTTTTATTAGTTGAAATTTTTTAAGTGAGAAATTCTAAGAAAGATTTTTCTCATTTCTGGAGGGGAAATTCTTGTTCTACTCTGAGTATTTATATGTATTTAACTCGAAAATGGTAAATGGGTGTACACCAAGGATGCCACGGGTTGAGAAAAAAGTCGGGTCAGGGTTTTTCGATCGTGTCAAAAATTTTCTTTGGTCGGATCAAATGGTATTTCAAGAAATTAAGGGATTCCTGGAGTGCAGGAAATTATCTAATTTTTCTGTGTGGACCGTGAAGTTTAAATTAATACTGCGATTCTGTGTAAAGCACTGATGCCACAGGTTGGGGAAAAAGTGGGTTCTGGTCGAAATAAAGTCTATGTTTTTAGGGTTCCGGATAATCCTTGATATTCCTGAATTGAAATACATTTACTGATTTGCGAACAAAAATTATGGACATTAACCTAAATTTTCATTAACTCTGTGGGGTCTAAGGAATTTTTTTCTGGAAAATTTTTTTGCTACTATTTTTTAACAAATTAATTTAAGGTCTCCGTTCAACAGAAAATATCTCTTCAGGCACAAGTTTTGTGAAGAAATTGTTCAGGGATGGACTTGCTTTCAATATACAATAAAATAAAAAATAGTTTTTTTTAATAATTTAAAAATAAGGGGGAGAAAAATTTAAAAATTTTTTGCGGCCAAAACAAAATTTAAAAAAGGTCTTGTAAACCTGCTTAAAAACACAAGCCTTCTAAAAAAGGGAAACCTTTTTTATTTAAAAATCACTGCCATTACAAAACCAGAGCACAAAAAATACAACCACGCACTTAACAAAAAACCCAAATTTTTGGCTTATATTTTTGATAGGCCTAGGGAGTATTTTCTTTTTTGTGTTTTAAAAATTGAATTTTATATATGTAAAAATTGGTGACTTGAAAAAAAATTTTTTTTTGTTGGGAAGTCTTTTGGACTTGAATAAAAAAAAGTTTTTTTAGCGGTTGAAGTCCAAGTTATTTCCACGGGTCTTGGATGGTTAGTAAAGCCGGCACTCATTCCCCCTCACCCATGCCTAGTTTTTTTATTAACGTAGAAAATGGTTAGCCATTACCTCAACAATTTCAAAAAATCTCCCTTTTTTCGTCATGAGCGCTTCGGGCCGCGGACTTGAGGGGAGGGGTGGGGTTGGGAGGGAATAGAATAAGTACCCTAAAATTTTAGAAATATTTTTCTGTTAGCTGTCTTTTAAACAAAAAATGAGATTTTTTTCGAGACTAGTGTCCAAAAATATCTGAATTTTTTTGAGATTTCAAAAAATTTTTTTCCAAGTCATCAAAAATTTTTTTTCAATTAAAAAAAAATGCCACTTCTCTCTACCTACTTGTATGATTCTAAAACTCTCTCTCAAAATTTATGTTCATGTATTTTTCTCTCAAAAATCGATCAAAAAATGTTCTCATATAAACACCTCAAATTTTAGCAACCTTTTAATTTCTCTAAAAAAATTTAGGGTTGCGTTATGTACATTTATATTTTATTTTTTTTTAATGTTTTAGACACACTCGTCTTCGCGTAGTTTAATTTTTCTTTTGTTTTATATACTTTCAATTTTAAATAAAAATAAATTTTTTTGTGTAATTTTTTAAAAATGTTGTGTACTTTCCGTTTTTAATGACGGTCAATATTTATTAAAAATTTTGAAAATTTTTTTAATTTTTTTTTCAAATAAAGGAACAATTTTTTGATTTTAAAAGATGGAACGCAAAATATGATTTGGATTTGGCTTCAATGGAAGAAGCCTGGAGAAAGCCAAGCATTGGAAAAAGCCTGGAGCTGATATTAACGATTATGTAAATTATGGATTTATTGAAGGTTTTTTTTTGAAAATTTTTTGGGGGAATTTTGAACTTTAAGGGTTCCTTTTCCGTTCAGTTGCCATCCCTTTTAACTAGGGTTACCGCTGTCGAACCGGGCCAACGTTCGAGTCGTTTTATCGAGCTTCATTTTTATCGAACCGGTCCGTTCGAGGAAAATTTTCACTTATAGCGGGTTTTTAATGCGTGGACGGATGTGGACGTATGAGGTGTCATTCGACTCAGCTCGACGAGCTGAGTCGAACTAGGGGTGGGAGAAGTTTGTCCGGTACCTAGGGACCGAGATATCGGGGCTCAAAATGGTCAAAAATCGTAAGCGGCATAATAAATATGCAAATGATAGCTTATTCGAAAGAGCTCGACGAGCTGAGTCGAATGACACCAAAATCATCGTAATTATACAAGTCTAGACAGAGTTACGATAGAAAAACAAAAACCTAAACCTATGGGGCGTCGGCGAGGCGCTTGTGCAAAACCCCGCGCTTCGCGCGGGGTTTTGCGACACGCGCCTCGCGGGGAGTCAACGGTCGCTGGGTCTGGGTCAGTAACATAAACCTATTCCGATCTCCCTTGCTCTGGAAGTACTTGGGGCCTCCGTCAGCAAAAAACTCCATGTCGAGCATAGGTAAGGAGCTTAAACAAATGCTCATAACTTTGTCAAATCAAGTCGAATTTCGTTGATTTTGGTGTCATTCGACTCAGCTCGATGAGCTCTTTCGAATGAGCTATTATTTGGATATTCGAATTTTTCAACCCAAAATGAGCTTACTCCCCCCTTCTCTTTTTGAATTTTCTGAAGTCTGTAACTCGGTACCTAGGTACCGGACAAACTTCTCCCACCCATAGTTCGACTCAGCTCGTCGAGCTGAGTCGAATGACACCTCATACGTCCATATCCATCCACGCATTAAAAACCCGCTATAAGTGAAGAGTACCCGTTCGAGTTTTGGCCGGTCCGTCCGAGTCTTCCGTGTCAAAATTCGATGCCCGGGTCGATCTATCGAACCGGATCTCCATAGATTTTCCGAGAACTGACAATAGTCAGTTGTCATCCCTTCTAACAATTAAATCAATTAAGAGGGGTTAGGTATTTTATTAATATCTACATAACTCTGATTACATAGTTTTATCCACTCATTTATAGATCTTACATGAAAGATGTCAGAACCAGTCATCCATCATCTAACAAACTTGGAAAGAAACCAAAATGGTATTTTATGGACGATGAGCTTTCTTGGCTTCCATCTGGAATGTCTATGGATTCTGCTACTGAACTTGAATATAGAAGAGAAGCTGCAGAGTTTATTCAGGTTTTTCTGTTTGTTCGGTCGAGATATTTGTTCGGTTTTCAGGTTTTGGGGTTCCCTCTTTGGGGTTCTTTGGGTGAGTGATTTCTTTGGGTGAGGTATCTCGTCGGTCAGCGCCTGTGAGAATCTTGTAGGTCAGTGCCGTTGAGTTTTCTCGATGGTCAGTGCCTGTGAGTTTCTCGTAGGTCAGTGCCGGTGAGATATCTCATCGGTCAGTGCCTGTGAGTATCTTGTAGGTCAGTGCCGTTGAGTTTTCTCGATGGTCAGTGCCTGTGAGTTTCTCGTAGGTCAGTGCCGTGGAGTTTTGTTCCCTACCCTCTGGGATTTTCCGTTAATTTTAGCATTAAACCAGGAACCGACGATCAAAGGATACCAAAGATCAAAAGAATGGTTTGTTTTTATTTTTAAGTAAAAGTCTCTGATTACATAAAATCATTCCAAATCTTACATGAAAGATGTCAGAACCAGTTTCATCATCTAGCAAACTTGGAAAGAAACCAAAATGGTGTTTTGTGGACGATGAGCTTTCTCAGCTTCCATCTAGAATGCCTATGGATTCAGCTACTGAATTTAAGAAGAGAAGCTGCAGAGTTTATTCAGGTTTATCTTTTTTTATGGTCGAGATAGGATTTTGGTTTTTAGTAAATGACTGACGTTTGATCACCTGTTATTAAATATTTGTGGGGATAGAATCAATTTTTCCAAGAAAAAAAATATTTTACCCTTAACTGGTTCGAACCTTCCCCTTTTTTTAAGTTATCCCACTTAACCAAATGCAGTAAATTTTTTATATTCGATTTTTCGTGTAAACTTTCAACTAGTGGACTGGTACAAAAGAAATCCTAATTTTTTGAAAACTTTTAGGAAGGAAAGGGGGGAGCTATTTTTATTTCCTTTTTAGTTTCTCTTGTCCTCATAACAATCTAATCAAAAGGGTCTATATTTGGATATCTAATTAAACTAAAAATAGGTACTAATTGTATGTGCAGGGAAAATTAATTAGTTCTATTGTTCTCAGAAAGATTTAGGAAATCAGAAAATCTCAGGAAAATTACATAAAATCATTTCCTAATTTTTAGATCTTACATGAAAGATGACAGAACCAGTTCCATATAGCAAACTTGGAAAGAAACCAAAATGGTATTTTGTGGACGTTGAGCGTTGGCCTTGTGCACCATGGAGGATTTGGATGTGGAGGGTTTTTTTTATTTTAAAGAGATTTTTAATTGAGAGTAGGGGGGTAATCTTTGCGGCAAAACTTGCGGTGTTTTAATCGCAATTCTTATTATTTTTTTATTTAGCTCAATAAACATCAGGCTTCTGCAACAAATGGCATCAAATTTCAAACCTTCAATGTCAACAAACTTCAAACATCCATCATTTGCAAGTTCTGTTCCTCACCAAGGCTGTGCGGCAAAATTTTCATGTGGCGCTTTTTTGTGCTTTTACGATCAAAACTCATCCTTTCTTAACGCCGAAAGTAAACATTATTGAAATTTCTTAAGACCAAGTGTAAGAAATCCTTTGTATCAAAAAATTCTTGAGAAATGGGAAAATCGGAGTGGGGTTTAAGTAGGTTGTCTCGATATCCATTAAATCGGCCTAATCCTTCAAATCCAATTAGTCCTCCGTTATCTTACAAATCCCTTGATATCCGTGATATCCTTCTACCGATATCACTCTTAATACGACAATACATTTCCACTGAGGCAAGGAAGGAGGCTTTTGTCTAAGCATTGATTGTAATTTAAAGCAAATGTACGAGGGATACGAGATTCACGTCACAGACAAAAATGTTAAAAATTGTTGAGGATCGATAGGCCAGAAATGTTCTTATTTCGGTGCTCGGTCGAAAACTTTAAAAATTTCACTTTCTTTTAAAAATAGAAAAAGAAGAGTAAACTGGGAGGAAATTTTCTTATTTCTTTCTTAAAACTTTCCCTGAATATGTCATTTTATGGGGGAAATCTGCGGAGGGAAAATTTGCAAAATAGAGGGAATGTTCGAACTCGCTCGGTAAAATATTCAATTTTTGTATAAAAATCGATGTCATCTCTATAAATATTCAGTAATAAGAGCAAGTAGAGTTAGAATCCTTAATTGTTCCCAATTTACAATTAAATTTTGAAATTTAAATTACATTGCCTCATGTTAAGAAACTGAGAATCTCATTGTTTCATCTTTGAGAATCTCATTGTTTCATCTTTGAGAATCTCATTGTTTCATCTTTGAGAATCTCATTGTTTCATCTTTGAGAATCTCATTGTTTCATCTTTGAGAATCTCATTGTTTCATCTTTGAGAATCTCATTGTTTCATCTTTGAGAATCTCATTGTTTCATCTTTGAGAATCTCATTGTTTCATCTTTGAGAATCTCATTGTTTCATCTTTGAGAATCTCATTGTTTCATCTTTGAGAATCTCATTGTTTCATCTTTGAGAATCTCATTGTTTCATCTTTGAGAATCTCATTGTTTCATCTTTGAGAATCTCATTGTTTCATCTTTGAGAATCTCATTGTTTCATCTTTGAGAATCTCATTGTTTCATCTTTGAGAATCTCATTGTTTCATCTTTGAGAATCTCATTGTTTCATCTTTGAGAATCTCATTGTTTCATCTTTGAGAATCTCATTGTTTCATCTTTGAGAATCTCATTGTTTCCTAAAATTGAGGCAATGTAATTTAAATTTCAAAATTTTATTGTAAAATTGGGAAAAAATTAAGGATTCTAACTCTACTTGTTCTTATTACTGAATATTTATAACGATGACATCGATTTTTATACAAAAATTGAATATTTTACCGAGCGAGTTCGAACATTCCCTCTATTTTGCAAATTTTCCCTCCGCAGATTTCCCCCATAAAATGACATTTTCAGGGGAAGTTTTAAGAAAGGAATAAGAAAATTTCCTCCCAGTTTACTCTTCTTTTTCTATTTTTAAAAGAAAGTGAAATTTTTAAAGTTTTCGACCGAGCACCGAAATAAGAACATTTCTGGCCTATCGATCCTCAACAATTTTTAACATTTTTGTCTGTGACGTGAATCTCGTATCCCTCGTACATTTGCTTTAAATTACAATCAATGCTTAGACAAAAGCCTCCTTCCTTGCCTCAGTGGAAATGTATTGTCGTATTAAGAGTGATATCGGTAGAAGGATATCACGGATATCAAGGGATTTGTAAGATAACGGAGGACTAATTGGATTTGAAGGAACTAGACTGATTTAATGGATATCGAGACAATTGGAAAACTCCGTTCCCCGACATGTTACACACGCACAACACATACACACGCACACACATACACACACACACACACACACGCACTTACCCTACACTACAAACGTTCATGCTACAACATACTTCAACCCCACTCCGATTTTCTCATTTCTTTTGAATTCTTTGATACAAAGGGGAGGATTTCTGACTCTTGATCTTAATAAATTTTCATAATTTTGTTTTCGACGCTAAATAAGGATGAATTTTGACTTCTGGGTTTCGAAAATTTTGGCGCACAGCCCTGAAAGAGAGTAATAAAATTTTAGGACAGGACAGAGAGTAAAAAAATTCATTCAACAGCAAAATCAACAATTGCAAATAGACGACTTTTGTTTACAACAAATTGTTTGTTTTTTTTTATTTTGTAAGCATCCGCAAGTTTTGTCCGCAAGTTTTGTCCGCAAGCTTACCCAGAATTAATTAGTTCGGTATCGAGATTTTTGAAAAGCCTGGGCCTGTTCCTGGGTTCCGAGTTTGATTTATTGTAAGCATCCGCAAGTAAAAAAATGCTGGACTCAGGGTACAGGAAAGGTACAGGTCTGGACCCAGGCCGGTCCAGACCCAGTTCGTTCTTTAGTGACGAAGTTTCTACTTCATGCTGTAATGAAGTTTAAGCTCCATATTGTGGAGGTTTTTTTAATATTTTTAAAAATTTTATTTCGTTTGTTTTTTAAATTCGTTTACATCGAAGGAACTTTTTGAACATGGCAGCCGTTCTTGAATACGTAGTAGCTGAGGTTCTCGAAACTTAACAAGGAGGAAAATTGCTGTGATTTTTATTTGATTTTTTTGATAAATATTTAAATCGTTTGTTTAATTTTATGCTCAGAGATATCGGAGATATTCAACACACAAGTCATAAGCCTTGGGTCACGCACAGGGACTTGTGCGGGACGTAGGACGCAGCCAACCGTCATTTAATTTCAATTTCAGCCGTCAGACTCAAATGTCCGGTACTCTTTAAATCTCATTAAACTATTGAGTCTGAATTTAGGTAAATACAGGGGAGACTGTACCATGCAGACTCAACTGTCCGGTACTCAACAGAATGGATGAGGCTTTGTCGTGTTATTTAGAGAAACAATAAAGAAATAGTGTAGTTAGAGAAAAAAAGAAATATTAGTAAATTATAGTCGGTTCGGTGCTCAAATTAAGAGCAAATATACCGTACCGATTTTCATAAAAGTAAAATTTTTTTAAATATATTATCGATTTTTTGAGAAGCATAAAATTATTATAAATGTTTTAGGAAGAAAAAATATGCTTTCCGGCTTTAGCTTTTTGTTGAATGTCCAAGTATGGAAAAAATAAAAATTTTTTATGGATTTCCCCCACCGCACTCAACTTTTGCACCCAACTGTCCGTTATTCAACACAATTAATTTTTGGGATAAACTGTCATTTATTTGGCGCATGAGACATTATGCCAAATTTTGGCAAATTTTTAAACTGAATAAAATTTCAAATTTCCCACAAAAGAAAAACTTGTTACTTGTGAAATTTTTTGATTAAACAAAAACATTTTTTGGATGTTTATCACGACTTTGAAAAGTAAAATATTGTAAACTAAACTATAAAATATTTAATGGGATTTAAAAAAACTGGAAATTTTACAAAATAACAAAGTTAACTTAAATATGCTCTAGGATTAATCTTCGCAATGGTGTTGTGTTGTTCCTGAAGTTGTTGAAGAAACAAGAAGTGAAGTATTTGAAGAATTATTGGAAGAGGATGAAGTAACGAAAGAAGGTAATATTGTTGCTAACGAACTCTTATACCACAAGGGAAATACATTAAAGATCGATATTCTGACACTGACTTAAAAACAGAATATATTTATTAAAAAGTTCATTCTGATTTATTAATCTGATTTTAAACTAATTCTGATTTATTATCCTGATTTCTGAATCCCAATAAGCGATTTTCCCCCTTCTTGTACAGTAACCATTTCGCTCTGAACTTGGGCACTGAAACGGCTGAAAACGTGCATTTAATTATGTTCTCTAACCCGCTAATTTTCTATTTAATTTCGTTGTCTAACTCACTATTTTTTTCCTTATTCTTCTCTATTTTTATAGATGTCATTTGCTTTAATCAGCTAATATGGGTAGATGGGACGTTTGAGTACCATCAACGGAATAGCGTTTTATGGCCATAACTTTTCTAATATTAATAATGAAAAGAAATTTATATATCGTTCGAAAGGTCTTGAGATCCTGCATCTTTTTTATAATTAGAGTAATCTGATCTAATCATCCTACAAAAAGTTATAGGTGATATACCATATTTCAGGCAGAAAAAAAGCAATTTTATGGCTGTAACTTCTTCAAAGATGTCCAGTTAGATAGTCCAGTAATAAAAAAGTTGCAGAATCTTGAGAGCTTTCGAATAATATGAAAGTTATTCAATGTTGAAAAAAAATAAAACAGATACAAAAATTTATACAAAATAAAAAAGTTTTTTGAAAATCTTACCATGAATAATTTTTTTTCTCCAACAGCTCTTCTTAAACAGCAAAAATTTCCAGGAAAAGATTGTTTTAGGAGCACCACTTGTTTCTTTTCCTGTAGTCGTTGGTGGAACTGAAAGAAAAAGAAGCATTTTGTGTTAAATCGTTTATTTATTGATGGATTTTGTGGAATTTTGGAGCTTATTTAAGCCTAAAATCTTAATGAATTTCTGATACAAAATAGGAAATGACCTTTTAAGTTCAAATGTTCTTGAAGACTACGAATCTCTAGGTGAGGTTGTTGGAATCAGAGGTGGGTCGGAACAGTCGGAGGTGTCGGAAATCGGAAGTGCCGGAAATCGGAACTGGCTCAAAAGTCGGAACTCGGAAATCAAATTTTTTTCGGATTCCGACCCGCCTCTGGTTGGAATCACGAAAAGAAAAAAATCGAAAAACTCGATTGTATCAGAATTTCAACTTCCAAACCCATTCAAAAATCCCAAACAAACCCTAACTAAAAATAAATAAAATAAACCATTTCTCAATGCCTTCCTTCCCTTCTAAAAGATTCACAACCACAAACTGCTGATTTTTGACTGCCTCTGCGAGGAAGGCCCAACCAAGTGTTCACTAACAGTTGAAAATGTTAAAAAAAGATTTTATGAAAAAAATTCAAAATATAAAAACGAAACCGTGTCAAACAGGCACACGTGATGCATCCAAAGCAACATCAAAAAATTGTCCAACTGCGAATATATGGTAGGGGTGTGGCAGAACCGAAAAGTACCAAGGTAACTATAAATCACCAAAACTCCAGTTCATTTGACCGACTCAAAATTTTTTAAATTTTGCACCCAATTTAAATTTGCGGACAAAACTTGCGATATGTAAAAAATATAACAAACAAACTTTTGGCCAATTCATTGCTGTTGTTGTACGTTGGATTTGTTTGTTGTAGCTGTTGTTGCAGTTTCTACCATTGAAGCAACAAGACAAAAACACACACAAAAACACACAATACTAAGAATAATAAGAACGCACACAACCTGCTAGAAGCCCGCGCAATCCATAAAAGTTCCTCGCACAAATGCTTGAAGTTCCTCGCACAAATACTTGAAGTTTCTCGCACAAATGCTTGAAGTTCCTCGCACAAATGCTTGAAGTTCCTCTCACAAATGCTTGAAGTTCCCGCGCAAATGCTTGAAGTTCCCGCGCAAATGCTTGAAGTTCCCGCGCAAATGCTTGAAGTTCCCGCGCAAATGCTTGAAGTTCCCGCGCAGATGCTTGAAGTTCCCGCGCAAATGCTTGAAGTTCCCGCGCAAATGCCGAAGCAAATGCTTGAAGAACCCGCGCAAATGCTTGAAGAACCCGCGCAAATGCTTGAAGAACCCGCGCACATGCTTGAAGAACCCGCGCACATGCTTGAAGAACCCGCGCAAATGCTTGAAGAACCCGCGCAAATGCTTGAAGAACCCATGCAAATGTTAGAAGAACCTATGCAAATGCTTGAAGAACCCATGCAAATGTTAGAAGAACCCATGCAAATGTTAGAAGAACCCGCGCAGATGCTAAAAGAACCCCGCGCAATTGCTAGAAAATACTAAACCCACACAACATGCAAAACCAAATCGATGAAGTCCATCACATCTCCATTTGTTAGAGTTGAAGCACTGAATTGAAAAAATTTAATAGTTGTTAAAGTAAAAAGGAGCAAGTTTTGTCCGCAAAGGACACCCGGGTAATGGAAAAGGAAAAATGGACAAAGGTAGCTGATGATCAGTTTGTAGTTGAAGAGTAGTTCATTGTGCGCAACACTGAAAAAAAAATTTTAGATATTAAATATATTTTTAATTATTTTTAGAGTGATTTCCCAGCCCTACATTTATCGATCGAACAGAATATGCGATGATTGAAAGAAGTTTCCACTTTGGTGTAGTGGGATAGTGTTCACTCTAATAATGGAGAGGGTTCGAACCCGTTTAGCGGACAGTATTTTATAATCCCCGTCGAATACTCACCCACACTAAGAAGTTACCTTTATGGTCTAGCGGGATATTTCTCACTCTATTGTGAAGAATAAGGTTCGAATCCCTTCAACGGAAAATCTTTATCAAAATAAATCATTGGGGAGGAAAAAAACTAGACACTTAGAGTTAAAATCCCCCTTACAAAATTTTCCAAAAAAAACCTTCAAAATATCAGCTCCAGGCTTTTTCCCAGGTTCATCTTCTCCATTGTAGCCAAATCCAATATCAGCATTCCATCTGTTCATAAGCTGAAATAAAGAATAAACAAAAATTAATTATTCAAAATTAAAAAAATATCATAGCGTCATTAAACACATACTAAACAAAAAATAAATATATAAAAAATTTATTTAGTCTCAAAATCAGCTGTAAAAGCAAAATTTTTTAAACAATAATAAAGGAAAAAAAATTTAAAAAAATATTATCGTCATTTAAAAAAAGAAATAAAACTTCTTATAAAATAAAAACTTTAAAAGAAATCAAATAGGAGCTGCTTGAGGTTCTATTAATAACTCGTTAATTGCAGCATGTTGTGGTTGTGTAAGTGCAAATAGAACAGACTGAAAAAAATTTTTGATTAGAATATTTAAGGGGTCTAAGGTTTCTATTTTCCCCAGCGAGTAGAGGGAGCAATTTCGAGTTTGTGAGAATCCTTGGGAAAATTATTTTCAAGTCCTCCTACAAGGCACCCCTTTGAGCTTTCGAGAATCTCTCGTGTTGGGTCAAAGCCTGGGAAAATTTTACAGGCCAATATTCGAATAGGGCCGTTTGAGCCTCCAAAAAGGCCGAAGGACTCCGACTCCGAAGACCTCCAGGACCGTTCATTTTTTCGCTTCGAACTTGTTTGGAAACCCTTCTAATCCGAAAATATCTCTAACATACCCTTGCAATATCGTCTCCAGTCAAAATTTTGTGTCCAGCCTCGGATCCATCATATTTTTCACGTGCCTAAATTCAAAAAATATTTTTAATCAAAAAAATTAAAAAAAACCTCAACATCCGTTGATCGACTAGCCAATTTAGTAGCAACATCCCCAGGTTGTATATTTGTAAATCTAATTCCATATTCAACAAGTTCTTGACGCAAAGCAGAAATGAAGCCTTCCAAGTAAAATTTTGTGCCAGAATAAACAGCTAAACCGGGGAAGGCCTAAAAAGAAAACTTTTAGCTCTTTAACTTTTTTTCCAAAAATCCGCAAGTTTTGTCCGCAAATCATTAATATTTATTTTATATTCAATTCATAGGAAAGAAGACAGATATGACTTAAGAGACATAAATCAACAACAATCTTTTATAGAAAAAATATAATTCATTTTTGGGAAGATAAAAGCATGAGACACTTGCGGACTTTTGGAAAAATTTGCGGAAAATATTTTAAAAAATTAAATTTCAAAAAAAAGTAAACCCTTTTTCCAGCATCAGACGTAATTGTAAGAATATGTCCAGAATGGTGTTCAACCATATGAGGGATTATTTCACCAATAATGTTTGTAGTTCCATGAATGTTGACTTCAATTTGGCGATGCCATTCCTATGAATAAAAAATAAAAATTCTAAAAATTTTTTTTGGAATATTATAATGTTCTTTCGAGTCTACGTTAGTTAAAACAAAGTCCGAAATAAGACGCGGACTTTGAAAGGACCTTTTAGTTCAAGTACAAAACTTGCGGACGATTTTTGCGGACTTTTAAAAATTTGCGGATTTTTTTAAACTTGCGGACAAGATTTGCGGACTTTGCCAGATTTCATTAAAGAGAATCCGGGTTTGTTAGAATCCAATCTTAAAGTTTAAAAAACCTCAGTATATCCTTTATAAGCCATTGTGTAGTACATAGCACCAGCACAGTTAATCAAAATATCAATTCGCCCAAATCTGTGAATTGTCTGTCGAACCAATTCTTGAACTTCGGTCCTTTTAGTAATATCGCATTTTGTGGCGATAAAGCTAGGAAAGGAATAATTTAGTTAATAAAAATTTTTGGGTAAAATAAGCCAAGTTAGAAAAAAGAAGATAGGAAATCCCACACTTTTTAATTTGCGGACAAAATTTTGCGGACTTTTTTGAAATCATTTTTGGAGCCATGAAATATTCAATTATAAAATTAAGTCCTACAAGACCCATGAGAAACCCCCCTCGCAACCCCCATGCGAGAAAGGGGGGATTCCTTGGAATAAGAACCCCAAAAACAAAGAAGAAAATTTTTAAAAAATTTGCGGACAATTTTTGCGGACTTTTTTTTAAATAATTAATACTTAATTATATACCGATCTGTTGGTAGTCGTTTAATTGTATCCTCCAAAAGGCTAAGCTGTCTAGAAGCCAAAACAGCAAAAACGCCCGTTTCTTGAGCCAATGCTTGAGCAATTGATGCCCCAATACCTTCACTTGCTCCAGTTATAATACAAACACTTCCAGACAACGATTTTGGGTCTGTTAAAAGAAAAATTTTTTGGGATTATTATTGAAAAGAATTTAAAAATTTTTAAGGTATCAAGATAACCACTTTTTTAGTAATAAATTGAAGTGAAATGAAAAATAAAAAGAAAAAATGAAAGAAAAAAATGTGAAATAAATCGAGACTCGATGCACAAAAAATAAAAATATTAAATATGAGCATATTATTTTTAAGCCAGATATACTCGCTAATAGAAGTCTACAGAAATTCGTGTTTGCAGGAATCCCTCATGCGAATAAAGAGGAATCGCTTGGAATAAGTCCCACCTCCACACTCAAACCATAGATCAATACGGGATTCGATTCGATCAATATCAGGATCAGAAGATGAAGGATTGTAGGAGCGGGGATTGCAAGAAAATACCTCCCCGACCTCTACTCTCCACCAAATAATTAAAAAAACCTTTCCTCTCTTCAAAGAAACAAAACTCACAACCAAAAACCGACAATTGTTCCTCAGCTTGTTCTTCAGCCCCAACATTAAAATCTGACAAAACAAAACTTTCATTATCAAGATCTGCAGATGAAGAATTTTGTGCTTGTTGTTGTAAGTATGAAAAATCTATGCGATGTTTTGGAGATGTTTTTGTAATTATTTTTGGTGGTTTTCGATCAATATAACGCGCTCTTTGCACAACTTTTCTTAAGGCATTTTGATTGGGCATTCTTCCTAAAAAATTTTTTTCATAGATGATTGATACTCAATGAAACTTTTTAAGAGTGAGTTGGCATTTAGTAGATTTTTTTGTTGATAAAAAAATTTTATTAAAGTCCGCAAATTTTTTGCGGACAATATAAAAAAATGTCCGCAAAATTTTTGCGGACAATCCGCAAAAACTTTTGCAGACAAATATTTGCCCCACTAAAAATCTGTAAAAAAAGTCCGCAAATTTCTTGGGTTTGGTGAGTATCATAATTAGTCATTGGGGACTATTCTCTAAAAAAAAGTCCGCAAATTCACGAAAAGACCCCAAAAAGCAACTCTACTCTTAAAAACTCTTTAAAAAATCAAAAAAACCTAAAATAGCTTCCGGAAGTTCTTCAACCACAGACGCCCTTATCTGGCTAGGAACCATATCCAACGATTCCCTTGCTCTACTTCTAACAGCGCTAACAGCTTTCTGAACCCCAACTCTAGCAGCATTTCCAGTTAACGAGCAAGTATGTTCTGTCACCAATTTTATGAAAGTTCTTTCAATATCAGAGGCTGTGTGGATTCTTCCTATGAAAAAATTAAGAAATCTTTAAAAACTCTACAAAAAAGAAACCTTTACATCCATGATTTAACAAATCACAACGCCAAAATATTTTGTCTCCCAAACTGCTAATTCGATCTTTTACATAAATAAATCCGTCATGAGAATATTTTTCTTGATTTTTTTGTGAACGTATTTGTGACATTTTTTGTGAAGAAATAAAGAAGAAAATAAGAAAGAATAAATGGCGCGTCTAAATTTTAGTTACTTTTGCTTGCTAAAAATTATTATCGAACGATTTTATTAGATAGAGACGCGAATAACTGGAAAATATATTTAATAGCGATTATGTGGCATAAAAAATGATAGAGAATAATCGAAAAAAGAAATTAGACGATTAGAGAAAGAAAAACAAAAAAGGAAAAGGGACAGTTGAGTCTCAGTTGAGAAATGGAAAAAAATGACAAAAATGGTAAGCAGGGAAAAATATTTAAAAAATGTAAGTCGTCAAAAATATTTAAAAATGCTAAATATGCACATAATTTTTGTATTATGTAAGTAGCTACAAAAGGCCCTCATCCCAAAAAAAGTCCGCAACTTTTGTCCGCAAATTTTTTGTTTTGTCCGCAACTTTTGTCCGGTAATTATTTTTATTTTGTCCGCAAATTATTTTTTATTTGTGGACAAAAGACCCAGTCATTTAGCGCCAATTAATAATATAAGTGGTTTTCTTGATACCATAAAAAATTCCCCCTTTAAAAAACTTAACCCATTACAATTATTTTTTGTTGATTTTGGACGTTGTATTACAAAGGATTTTACAAGTTTTTCAATCCATTCACGAATAATTGTTTCACAAATTGTTGGGTATTTCCAATTAAGATCCTCAAGTAATTTATTTGTTTTAGTTCTCAAAAATTTGCTTTGAGTTAAATTAATTATTCCATTATTTCTTTAAAATAAAATTTAAATTTTTAGGGGAAAATTTTTAAAAAATTACTGAAATAATCCTCCTTGGACTAGTTTTTGTAATTGTTGTATACAAACTTCTTCAGATGAGGATTCATTAATCCTTAAAAATTAAAAAAATATTTTCGTATTAGAGAATAGGTAGCTGACATATCCCCCAACAGAGCCCCCCCCCCCCAAAAAAAGCCCGCAACTTTTGTCCGCAAATTTCCGAAAAATCCGCAAGTCTTGTCCGCAAATTATTTTTTTGATTCTTTTCTCAAAAACATTTCCGAGAACGTAATCACAAGAATAACTCGCCCCTTTTTGTAACCTGTCCCAGTAAAAATTTTTTTAAACCCTGCTCCCTAATATATTTGCGGACAAAACTTGCGGACATTTTTGGAACATTAAGAAAAATAGGGTTGTCGACTCGGAAACGAACCAAACCGAAAAAACGAGGATTTTTAGGTTCGATTTTTCGGTTCCGGATATCTCAAGATTTTTCGAGAATCGAGACACCCCTGATGGGAGAGGAGAAAAAATAATTATTTCCACCACCCTCAAAAAAAAACAAATAAATAAAACCAAACATTTTAATCCATTCATCAATTTCAATTTCTTTAATTTCTTCAAAACCAACAATTTTTAACCATTCAATTATTTGTTTCCATTTTACAATTCCTTTTCCAGAATTAATTAAATGAAATATTCGTCCAGTATTTTCACAAAACATTTCACTTAAAATACGAACAATAAATTGGGCAGAAAAATCGACTGGAGTTAATTCAACCTTAAAATTTTTTTAAAGGATTAGAAATCAAAAAATAACTCAGAAACAAGTTCCTTTTCCTTCGTCCCCCTAAGGACAAAAAATATTTTTATTGAATGCCTAACAGTCTATTTTCCCCCGAATTCAAGAAATCAGGTTCAAGAAACCACGATAATCGGCTCTAGAAAATAAATTAAAAGAAAAAAAGTTTTTTGGCAATAGTTAGCAAAAGATTGAGAGAAATATCCAAAATTCTTAAGAAAGTCCGCAAGTCTTATCCGCATGTCATAAATTTATTTTTATCTAAAGTTGGTTCCGACCCATCGAAGAAAACTCTTCGGGGAAATATACTGTCAGGCAGTTTCAATAACAATTTCCTGTCCTAGATTTCCTGAATTCCCCGTCCATTTATATTTCTTGAAGGAAATGGTGACCGCAAGTCATTTTTGAAAATTTAAAATTTTTGAATATTTTTGCGGACAAAACTTGCGGATACTTTTTTTGGAGGAAAATTTAACATAAAAAATTTGAAAAACAAACCTCCCATTCTCCCAAATTTGGTGCTAAATTCATTTTTAATGTTGACAATAATAAAAGATAAGTAAAATCTTGTGGGTTCCAATTAGATCCATTAATTGGTGCTGCCTGATTGCCTAGTCGGTAAATAATTGTTGGCAAACCACGATAATTGGCTCTGGAAATAAAAAAGAAATAAAGTTTTTGGCACTTGTTCGCAAAAGATTGAGAGAAATATCTAAAATTTGGTGCCTACTAGTGTTTCGCCGGAACCGCAAATTTGGCCAGAACCGTAACTTTTTAACCAAAAAGATCCTAGAACTTCCGGCCTACCGGAAACGGAAGTTCTGACGAAACACTAGTGCCTACTTTTTCTTAAAGATCTCCCCATATTTAACCAAAAATGACTATCTATTGCCAATTTTTTAAATTTTCCTCTTAAGTAGCATTTTCGGATAGTTATGGAGACTTTCAACAGTTCAGGTTGCTCCCTTATCAGTTTAACTCTGAGTTTTTTGAATGATGGAAAAACAAACAAGAAAAAGGGAGACAAAGAACTAAGGGCACCTCCCAATCTTTTTACAAAAAAAACCTCAAAACTAATTGTTCAGCAACATATTTAGTTTGTCCATAACCATCAACAAGTTTTTCAAAAGTATCAGTTGGAGGGGTGTCTTCATCTACATCAATTAATCCACAGGGAAAGACTGCATCCGTACTAAAAATTTAATTAAACAAAAAATTCTTCTAAAATTTAAAAAGAAACCTGATATAATGCAAAGGTTTAATTTTATTTTTAAAACAAAATTCAATTATATTCCTTGTCCCAACTACATTACAACCATGCAGAGCCTTGCAAAAAAATTTTTTTTAATTTAAAAAAATTTAAAAAAATATTAACCTGATAAGGATAAATTAAATTAACATAGGCTGCCTTAAAAACAAAAATAAAAAAATTATTTTCAAAATTAATTATAAATTAACCGCGTGTAAAACAACATCAATATCATAAGAAAGAAAGTGGTAATCCTTTAAAAAAAATTTTCAAAATTAGAAAAAATATTTATATTTTATTTTAATGGTATAGCGACATTTGCGGATTTTATAAAAAAATATTTTGAAAAATTATTATCACCCAAAAATTTTGAACGAAAATTTTTTTGCGGTCATAAAAGACAGAATGGTACTCCCCGCAAAAAACGACAAAGGGTACATACGGGCGATACAGACAAAATGGTACATAGGAGATAAAAGACAAAATAGCACTCACTGTAGAGTTTGTCTCATAAAGAAAAATCGGCTCCCATACAAAATACCGAATTCTTAAAATATGGAATCTCAAAATCGCGAATCGGCTAAAAAAACTCAAAATATGGAATCTCAAAATATCGAATCTCAAAATATGGAATAGGCAAAAAAAGCTCAAAATATCGAAAAATATCGACAATGCGGCAAAGGCCAGTTGAGTCTGAACAAAGTTGTGACCAACTTCTTCGTAAAAAAATTTTAAAAATAAGAGAAAGTATTTTTCTAAGGTAAAAAAATGTGCTGATTACGAATCTCAGCTCGGATTTTGAAAAAGTCGAAGGTAATAGTTTGGAATTCGCCCCCCTTTTTTCAACGTTTCCCTGACCATTTTGAGCTTTTTTGTTTGATACATAATTTATCATATATCATTCGAAAGAGCTCTTCGAACTTAGTCGAATGATACCTTGATTGTCTAAATCTGATCATTCTTACCAAAATTATGAAGCTAAATCCTTATTGGGAAGACTTTTTGTGGCAATCCATGTGGATAAAATAAGCGGTCATAACTTTGTTCACTTAAGTCCGTTTTCGTTAATTTTAATGTCATTCGACTCGGATCGAAGAGCTCTTTCGAATGGTATATAATTTGCCATAAAATGAGAAAAAACTAGGAAAAAATAGAAAGGGAAAAAGGGGGGGCGAATTCCAAACTATTACCAAGTCGAATCCCGGACCCGAACCGAATTTCGAATCCCGAACCGAATTTCGAGTTTCCGAATGATAGCTCATCTGAAAGAGCACGTCGAGCTGCATCGAATGATACCAAAATCAATGAAATCCGACCTGATTGGACTGAGTTACAGATCCCTGAATAATCAGAAAAAGACCTGCAGCGGCACTCAAACGGCCCTTTTCGTTTTTAAAAAATTCGACATTTTTAACTACTTTTTAGCCGATTCGGTATTTTGAGCTTTTTTGGCCGATTCGCGATTTTGAGATTCGATATTTTAAGATTCCATATTTTGAGCTTTTTTGGCCGATTCCATATTTTGAGATATTTTTACCGATTCGCGATTTTGAGCTTTTTTAGCCTATTCGCGATTTTGAGAATTCGGTATTTTGTGCGGGCACGGAAAAATCTTTAACTGTCTCTCTTATTCTCTATAACACTTATTTTCTCTTTTCGCTTTACTATTCTCCTTCCCCTTTTATCTTCGTAAATAAAAAAACATTCTCTCTCATTCATTTTCTCGCAATAAATTCTAGACCTTTTCTACTCCCCATTTATTCTAGTTCAAAAGAAAATTCATTTCATTAGTTACTTTCCTCGTTAAACCATCGCTTCTCGGCCTTTTGGCTAAGATCAAAGTGTAGTATCTGTTCTTTACGGCTTAATCTCCGTAACGACCCCTACCGGGGTCAAAGAGATTAACCAATTTTTGGAAAAGGGCGTGAGTTGGAAGCTTGCTTTCTCTCTGCCGCGCGTCGGCCCGGTCTTGCACTTACCTCCGGGAACGGCGCATTCCTCCCTAAATAGGAGGATCAAAAACTGAGTATAATTCTTTAAGCAAGACTGCTCGCTAGCAAGTTAAGGATCTAGTCTTGGTCCGAGCTATAATAAATTTGAGATTCTCGTTAGGATTACCCCTAGTCTTTTGTTCCAAGTCTTGGTATAGAAGACTAATTTTGTCCGCAAAAAAACTAATAATGCCCGCAAAAGTTTATCCGCAAATGTCACTAAACCATTTAAAAATATTTTCCATAAATCACCTCATCAGACAACCCAAACTGAACTAGTGCAATATCCCCAGAAACAACACGTACTTGTTCTCTTAAAAAATTAATTTTTTATTAAAAATCTTCTCTCCAAACCTAAAATTTTCTTCTCCAATTTTTTCATTAAATAACCCATTCCTTTTCATTGTGGACAAAAGCCTTTCTTCAACAGTTTCATTACTATTATTTGATGATTCTCTAATAAGACAAGTTATTTTTGTTTTTGAAGAGGATAGTAATTGAGCTAATAAATGGGAACCAAGAAAGCCTGTTACGCCAGTTAAAAAGACATTAGCTGCGTGGAAACGTTTTTTCCATTCAGTTGCACGCCAAAATGCTCGAAGGTGAAGATCCATGCTTTAAAATAAAATTTTAGATTTTTCGTTTCTGTAGTTTAGTGGTTAACATCCCCGACTTACATTACTTTTCAAATACCAAGGTTCGATGCCCTGCGGGTGACAGTGGCAATTTTTTAGATTCTTGACCTTCATTAACTTTAAGTAACCCGTCAGTTGGGGAGGTAAATTGTAGATTTTTCGTTTCCGTGGTTTAGTGGGTAAGGGCCCCGACTTGGAATTTTCGGATACTCAGGTTCGATGCCTAGCGGAAGATATTGGATTATTTTTGATAGTCCTTGACTCGTATTCACTTCGGGGGTGACATGCCAGAGTGGGGTAAGTAGTATTTGCGGACTTTTTCGTTTCCGTGGTTTAGTGGGTAACACCCCCGACTTGGACTTTACTGACACCCAGGTTCGATGCCGAACAGAGGACAATGGTTGATTTTAGGTAGTTTTTGATTTGTTTCACTTCAAGTGACATGCCAAAGTGGTGGGAGCAGTATTTGCGGACTTTGTGGTTAAGTGGGTAACACCCCCGACTTGGACTTTACTGACAACCAGGTTCGATGCCTAGCGGTTTAAAAAACTCTCCAACAAAAAAAAACAAAAACATACATATCTCCCTTCAAATCATTTGCTTCAATTTGTTGTTCCAAATCAATTATTTGTTCAGGTGATGATCTTTCTATTTGACTACCATCTAATAATTTGGCCATTGCGTAAACTGTTGGAGCTGTAAATAATTCACGAATTCCTAAATGTGAACCAAATCGAGTATTTACAGCATTTAAAAGACGAGCAGCCAAAAGAGAATGTCTAAAAGATGTAAATTAGTTTTTGCGGACTTTTCTTAATTTTTGCGGACTTTTCTAATTTTTGCGGACATTTTTCATTTTTGCGGACATTTTTCATTTTTGCGGACATTTCACACTTTTGCGGACTTTTCCCAGTTTTTGCGGACATTTTTCATTTTTGCGGACATTTTCCACTTTTGCGGACATTTTTCGCGTTTTTGCGGACATTTCCTACTTTTGCGGACTTTTCTAATTTTTGCGGACTTTTCTGATTTTTGCGGACATTTCCCAGTTTTGCGGACTCTTAAGAGCTCCGTAAAAGCAGCTCAAAAATCAACTCGCAAAAATTAGTCCGCAAAAGTTGTCCGCAAATTTTTATCATTTTAAAAATTATTCATAAAAAATACATACCCTCCCATATCAAAAAAACTTTCTTGTATATCCAAATGTCCACTACTCCCCAAATGTAATATTTCAATCCAAATTTTAGCCAATTCCTTTTCATTTTCTGTTTGAGGTAATGCATCTATTTCAACAACATCACAAGAAAAATTAACTGAAGGAAGTGTTTTTTTGTCAGTTTTTGAAGACGCGGCCAATAATGGAAGTCTTTTTTAAAATAAATTAAAAAATAAAAAAAAAAATTAAAAAAATACTTTTCCATAAAAATAAAATATTGAGGCATCATATAAAATGGCAAAACTCGTTTCAGTTGTGCTCTCAATTGTTTTCGAGTAATTTGTTTGTCTCGCAAAACGATATAGGCAGCTAACTAAATATTAAAAAAATTTAAAAATTTTTAAAGGGGGCAAAACACCTTACAGACAAAATATCTTTAAGTGGGAGCTGATTTTAGGAGTCCGCAAAAGTAATTTAAAAAAAGTCCGCAAGAGTTGTCCGCAAATTTTTTTTGTTGTCCGCAAAATTTTTTGATTGATTTTTGAGGGTTTTGGTTAACAAGTTGACAAGCTAAACTTCTTTATATGACTTTTAAAATGAAAAAATTTTTGCGGACAACTCTTGCGGACTTTTTTTAATCATTATTGCGGACTCTACCTTCCGGAAAATATTTTTTTGTTTGGAAGGTGACTTGCCCCCTAAGCTACTAAAAAAGAAAATTTCTAAATTTAACCTGTTTATCTTCCCCTTCATTTCCAATAGAAATTACAGTACAAGAACGGACATGATTTAAATTTAAAAGAGCCGCTTCAATTGCTTGAAGTTCAACGCTGTATCCTCTAATTCTAACTGTTGTATCGCAGCGTCCACAAATTTCAAGAACCAAATTAGGCAATAAATAACCCCAATCACCAGTTCTATTAAAAATAATTTTTTCAATAAAAGGATAAAGGAGCACATTTTGCGGACAAATCCGCAAAAATTTGCGGATTTTTTTGTCCGCAAAAAATTTTTTAAATATTCTTTTTTTAACCTGTACATTCGTTGAGATCCCATTTCTTTTTGATATTCTTCAGGTAACGGAACAAATCGTTCAGCATTTATTTCTGGCCGGTTAATATAACCAATTGCTAATGTTGGCCCTGCTACGTAAATCTAATTTTTAAAAATATTTTTAATAAAAAGTATTTAAAATAAACCTCTCCAGGTACGCCGATTGGAACACGTTTCATCGTTTTCTCATCCAAAATTAAAATTTTGACTCCTTCAATTACCTAAAAAAATAAATAGAGATTATCTCTTTATCAAGGATGGGCTTGTGTTCGAGTCGGGTTTCTAAAATTTCTTCGGATAAAAAATGTCCGGAGGTTCGGACATTGGTTTCAGATAACCCGAGACATTTGCGGACAAATTAGGCGGACAAAACTTAATTTCTTAAATAAAAATTCAAAAAACCTTTCCAACTGGAGCAAATTGACGCCTTTCATTTTTAGTATTATAAAATTCATTTAAATCGGCTACAGCAACATCATGACATTCTGATATACTATAGAGATTAATGCAGCGAACATGTGGAAAATGACGAATAAATCTTTCTAATAATGCACAAGTAACAACTTCTCCGCATAAAAAAACTATTCTAAAAAAATAATTATTATTTTTAATTTTTGCGGACAATATTTGCGGACAAACATTCTAAAAACATTAAATGATATTCTAACAAAAATATGATTAGGATATGGCACCCCAAATGTCGTTCCGCAAGTTTTGTCCGCAAATGTGGGCACTTTAAAGGTCAGAAATATTTTTAGAATGAAGGGGTAAGCTTCCTTCTTTCAATAAGTTCGCAGCTATTCTACGGACAAAAAGTCATCTCGAAAATTTTAAAAAAATATTAAATGACTGTTAAAATATTTGAGCGACCTTTTTGACCGTTCCCCTACCCCCAAAACTTCTCCAACCCCAATTTTTCTTATCAAAAAATTTTTTGCAATTTACCTTATACATTGAAATGCCCTTGTAAGCGTTTCCTAAGAAAATAATTTTTTTCTTTAAAAAATAAAAATTTAAAAAATAAACCTCATCTTGTGTATCCAAAACCATTTCCAACAGTGAAGGGGTAAAAAGCATTCTGGTTATTTGATTTTTTGCCAAAAAATTGCACAGACTGTGAGGGTCATAAATAACAGAATCTGGGATTATTACCTAAAAATAGACAAAATTATGAAATTTAAAAAACAAAAAAAAAACTACAAACTAAGGTAATTCCTTGCAATATTGGCCGAAACATTTCCCAAACAAAGAAGACATTACAGGCTGGAAATTAAAAATCTTTTCTGAAAAAAATTTTTCTTTAACAAATTTGCGGATATTATTTGCGGGCATTCAATTTTTATTTAATTAAAAAAAAAAGAATTTAGAAGTATTTGTAGACAGGAAAAATCCGCAAAATATTTGCGGACAAAATATCAGCCTGCGGACAAAAAAAAAGTCCGCAAAAATACCGCGAAAAAAGTCTGCAAATATTTTGTGAGCAAGAAAAGTGCGCAAATATTATCCGCAAGTTATATTGTACTTTAAAAAATTCTTAAAAATTCAAAAAAATTCTTCTCACAAACCTTCAATATCGTCATCACTGTAAGGATAGTTGAGGAAGCGCCATTTATATCTTTTAAAAAATGAATTTTTTGGTTAAATAAATTTAAAAATATACGATATAACAGCTCCTCTATGTGGGCATTTTATTCCTGTAAAAATCATTTTTAAATCAGAAAACAGACAAAAAAGTCACAAAAAAGTCCGCAAAACTTTTGCGGATAAGTCCGCAAATTTTTTGCGGACAAAAAAATTTTTTTCCAACCTTTAGGCTTTCCAGTAGTTCCAGAAGAGTAAACAATATAAGCTAAATCATCACAATTTATTTCTTCAATTTTTTCCTGCTTTTCTTCTTCAACTTCAAAAGACAATAACCACTTTCCATCTTCATCAAGTAATAATAATGGAGTGTTTTCAGGAAAATTATTTAAAGAATTTGTTGATGTTATACAAACAACTGTAAAAGAAAACAAAAATTTTTATTTAAATGTAAAGGACCCTAGTCTACAATTAAAATACAATGAGGGAGTCAGTGGGTTTGAGTTCCCCGGCGCTTGAAGGAAAGATGGGCCAAGTTGAGGGAAAGTCCGCAAATATTTTGCGTATAAAGAAGTCAGCAAATATTTTGCAGACAAAGAAAAAGTCCGCAAATATTTTGCGGACAAAGAAAAAGTCCGCAAATATTTTACCGACAAAAAATCCGTCGGATTGAGTTTCGAGCCGAAAAAAGTTCGGGTTTCGGTAACACGCCCATCTCCACCTTGAAGATGTGTCGGGTTATGAACCTTCAAGGAACGCCTACCCTATCAAAGGACTCATATTCAAAATCCATTAAATTAAAAAAAACAACCTGCAGGCTTAACCTCATCAAGTACAGATTTAAGCAATGAATCAGGATAAGTAATATCCAGAGGTAAATAAGCAGCACCTTCAAAAATAAATTTTCGTTAAATTTCTAAAAATTCAAATTCATACCAGCTTTTAAGGCAGCAATATAGGCAAATACATATTCGGCACATTTGTTCATATAAATGGCTATACAGTCCCCCTTCTTACATGAAAATTTTGTAACAAATAATTGAGATAATCTGTCTTAAAAATAACAAAAGATTTAGAAAATTTTAAAAATTTTAGAAATTAAAATTTGGGGGCCAGTTAGGCGCGCAGTCATAACGGCGCGAAGCCATAAACTTGCTGGAAAATTTCTGGCCCTTATCAATTTTAGTACCATTCTCTTTAGCTCGATGAGAGGAATCGTTTAGTACTAAATTTGGTAAGATTCGGAAATCTTGAAGCAAGTTATGGACTTGCGCCGTTATGGCCGCGCGCCGGGCTGTACCCAAATTCTGGGGGTCATTAGAGTCTGAATTTAATTTTAAACTTACTTTGGGGCTTCTAGAGACTGAGTCTAAAAATAAAATTTTTCTTAGTTTTCAGACTCTAATACACCCAAAAAAATTAATTTAACAATCTCCTACCAGTTATTTCATCCAATTGTGCTAATGTCCATTGTCTGTCGTTGTGTTTCAAAACAATTTTATCACGTTTTTTGTCGTCAGAACTTGGAAAGGAAATAATTAAAAAAGAAACTTTAAAATGATTAAATGGAGGGAGTAGTCTCGGAAACTCAGTCCTAAAATCCCGAGGATACTAACCCATTTATTCGAAAAAACCCCCATTTATTCGTGAGAAAATCCGTCCTAGAAGATCAACAACACAAAAATCAACAGTAAAAAGTAGTGACAACTAGAGCTTGTTTCTACGGTCCGGTTCTAATCCGGAAATCGCAAAAACCTTCGGATTTGGGACTCGGACTCCGGAAAATCCGGCCAGAGTCCGGCCCGGCCCCGGTCACTACTAAAAAGATTTAAATTACCATATTCGTCTAAACATAGCCACAAGAGTATCATCTTCCAAATGTGGGGATAAACGTGATTTTAAACTTGCAGTAGACGCTGAGGAAGTTAATGATTGGGGATTATTTAAATTTTGTTGGGTTAGTGTTGGGGGTGTCATTTTGAATTTTTTTAAAAATCTAAAATGCAAAAAATTATTTAATAAATATTGCTACTTTTTTCCTTAGTGATTTTTAATTTTTGAGATAAAATTTAAAAAATAAACAAACAAATATTAAGTAAAATACATAGAGTTTTTGATAAAAGAACACTTAAAAAATAGATTCTCTCCCAGAAGATCACCACTGTAGTTTAATAAAAGTTAGTGGTGATCTTTTGGGTTGGTTCTGGGGGTGGTGATTTCTAGATAGGCACTAAAAAATAAAAAAAGTTGATTGTGGAAGGGAATGTGGTTGATTATGTGCAGGATTTATATTTAGATTATTTTCGAGTTGAAAAAAGAAAAAAAAGTTGAACAGAAAATTTTAAAAAAATTTAAAAAAAATTTTAAAAATTAAAAACGGGTACAGCACAAAACGGCGCGAGGCCATAACGGCGCAGAGCCTTAGCTTGGTGGAAGATTTCTGGCCCTTATCAATTTTGGTACCATTCTCCTTAGCTCGATGAGAGGAATCGTTTAGTACTAAATTTGGTATGGTTCGGAAATCTTGAAGCAAGTTATGGCTTTGCGCCGTTATGGCCTCGCGCCGGAGTGTCCCATTAAAAAATAAATCAACCCAAAAGATCACCACAGGTAATTAGTGGTGATATTATGCGACTAGGAGGAATAGAATTAATTTAGACATGTCAAATTAATAGATAAAGTGTGCAAATAAAATTAAAAATAAAAATTTATAAAGTGTTATCGAAGCATTTTTTGTTGTTTTATCGATAAAAGATAAGAGAAAAAAATTTTTAAAAATTTAATAAATTAATTTTGGGATCAAATGTCTTTTCTATTAAAAAATAATTAATTGGCAAGTACTTTATAAAATACTAGATTCTTTAGTTTTTTATTAAATTAAAAGACAATTAAAAAGACAATTGGCAAAAATAAAAGGGGGTTTATGATGCACTTTTTACGTTTATTTTTGACATTATTATTTTTGATTTTATAAGGACATTAGAGTCTGGGTTAATTTTTAATTAATTTTATAAGGAGAATGCCAGCTTTTAATCCAGAATGTGAAAAAAAAATTTCAAAAATAATTAAAAGCAAAAAACAGCATACAAATATAAAAAAGTAAATTAGTCAACAATTTTTATCACAACAAATTTCCAGTCGCAAAAAAAAATCCAAAAAAAAACGGAAACAATCAAGTCACAAAAAAATTTCCTAATACATTTTACGTCAATTATATAAACAAATAATTTAATGCAATATATTTTTATTGGAGACAATCTAATTCTATTTTTTTTAATCCTTATCTAACGCTTCTTGAAATTGACTTTAGAAGTAGATGGGGTTTTATTTTGAAATTCTTTAACAGCCTCCAAATGTTTCCGGAAAGTGTTTTCTCGTTCAAGCATAGACTTCTCCCCGTTTGCATGAACGGCTATATAAAAAATAGACCCAGGGCATCCTTTCGGCCAAATTTTTTTTCACCTGTTCGATCTGAAATAGTTGTTTTGCTCCACTCGTTTTTCACGCTCCTCCCGCTCTCTACAAAATAGAAAAAAATTCAAAATAAAAAAGAAAAATCTAAAGAAAACCTTTTTGCACTGTCAGCTTTCTCCCTCAACAAGTCCTCGCGAGCTCTCTTAACCTGATCAGCCTTTTCGTCGATTTGTTTCAATTTTTGAACCTTCTGAAATGTAGTATTGAGAGCCGCCGGCGTTTTCGCTGGGGTCTTTGTTGGAGTCGACGGTTGAGTCTTCTTGGGAGTAGCGAAAGTATTCTAAAATTTTTATTACTTTAATAATTTTAATAAAATTCTTTACTTGAGTGAGACGAATAATAGGTAGAATTGGTTGTGTCTTCCTCATTAACGGCTCAGGCATTCTAACCTGCCCTTCTGGTTTCGTAAGAAGGGGAGTAAAGTCAAGTATTTTCGGATTATCAAATTTAACTTTTTTTGTGATTTGCTTTGAAACCTCTGAAAATTAAAAAATGCAAGTTACCATGAATTTATAAATCAAAATTTAAAATATTTAAATTCTACTTATTAAAACCCCCAAAAATTTAATAATTTGCTGTTAGACTGACAATTAAACAACGAAGATAACGGAGAGCTAAGCTTAATTATTTCCCAAAATGTGAAAATTTTCCTTAAAGCTCCAATTTTACTTTTTTTTCCTCCAATTTTACTCCGCGTGGTTGGCAGGAATTGTAGCATTCTATGATTTTTAATATTTTTAATAAAACTCTCATCTCCCCGTTTGCATGAACGGCTTGATAAAAAATAGGCCCAGGGCATCCTTTCGACCCAATTTTCTTTTTTCACCTGTTCGAACTAAATAGTAATAATACCATTCATTTGATTTTGGACAGCGATTGTATTTTTGGTTAGAAAAGAAAAGTTACTAAAAATTAAAACTTAATGGAAATCAAGAAATGTGTATGTTTATGACAATATAAAAATTATCCTCTTTTACTATGCTGTTCAAACCCAAGACTTTCAAAAATAGGAAGGCTATAATAGGAAGTCTGCAGAAAATTTAGAAGAATAGGAAGGCTTTAAAAATTGAGCAAATTTGTTAAAGTGAAATCTGTAAGTTTTGTTAATGTTTCTATTGTACTATAAGTGGTGTTTAAATATTTGTTGAAAGTGAATTGTGAAATTATCAAAAAAATAAAAAAATTAGATTCTTGAAAATAGCAGATAAAAATTTCTAAAAATGAAGGGGAAGAGGGTTATTTCAGGTATTTATTGCTGATAATATAGACTATTGCTGATAATATAGATTCCCTTCCAGGTTATTTTTACATCTAACTAAAAATCAAAAAAGAATGATTCACACATTTTATTTTTATTTAATAACCACACGGAACAGAAAATATACACTAAAATTATTAATTTATTAATTTTCATTTTCCTGTTGATTAATTAAAAATTAATTTTAAATAAATTAAAAATGTTTATTATCTCCTTTATTAATTTAATTTTAATTACCCCAATTATTGGTAGTAAATATGTGGAAAATAAATTTATTACATGCCCAGCTGTCAATACTAAAAACGTTGGCGATTTTATTTCTGAATGCCAAGGGTATTAAAAATTTTTTTATCAGAAAAATCGACATTTGCGGACATCGACATTTGTGGACATCGACATTTGTGGACATCGACATTTGCGGACATCGACATTTGTGGACATCGACATTTGCGTACAAAACTGAATTTTACTGAAATTGGAACAAATGGCCATTGTGTCATGTCCACCCCTATAGCACAATCATATGATCTATTTTATTGGCATAATGCCCAAAAATTCTATTCTACTATAAAAAGGCTTGGTGGATGTCCGCAAATTTCTGTTCGCAAATGTCGCTTAAAAATTAACTAATTTTTTAAAATTAAAAGACTGCTTATTTGTTATCAAAGCCAGCTTGGACCCAATTCAAATAAAAATTATAAATTTAACAAACTTTATGAATTAACAAAAAAGACAATTGGAAACGGTTTTTGTGAGCCTTGTATTAAAAATGGGCAGTGTCAAAAAAGTGAAGGAATTGAATGGAGAGGAATTCGAGTATTTTATAAAGGGAAAAGAGAAAAGAAAATTGTGCAGATACAAGCTGATATTTTTAAGCATGGGTTTGGAATTTGAAAAAATTTTCAAAAAAAATTTTTTGAAAAATTTTTTGAAAATTTTTTTTTATTTTTGAAAATTTTTTGAAATTTCGAAAATTTTTTTTTAATTTTAGAGAAAAATTGGAATTGTATCATCCAATTAATCCAAACGAATTTTTAACTTTTCTGTCTGGCCATAATGATGAAATTAATAGTAAATTATTTTTAATTTAAAAAGCGAAATTTGCGGACATATTTTGCGGACAAAACAAAAGTTCATTGAAATAAGGTCAAAAGACAGGCATCATAGTCTAAGAACTTTTTGACATATGTCACACCATTTATGCCGTAATATAGAAAATTTAATGAATGTTCGCAAATGTCGCTTTCTCAACTGTCTTGTTCGCAAATGTCTTGTCCGCAAATGTCGCTACTTTTTCAATTAATTTTTTTAAAAATTTAAAAATTTTTTTTAGAAAAACTAATCAAAGCAGACGATATTTCTTTTGCGTATTTCAAACAAACAAAAATGCACAAATCAATTTTATATCCATTACTTGACGATTATCCAGGTATATTTGCCTTGAAGTTGGACATAAATGTTAAGACAACTAAAACAAGTAGTAATCCAACAAAATATATTTTGGCAAAATTAAACGATAAAAATTGTAATTTTAATAATACAAAAACTTGAAATTTTTAAAAATAAAAAATTTTTTTTTGAATTTTTATTTTCCCTCTTTATTAGCTAGCTACTCGACATTTGTGTACCGACATTTGCGAACAAACACTATTGAATATTGAAATTGGAACAAACGATTATCAAGTCATGTCCAGTATATCCATCAGATATCGGTCGTACTTACACACAAATTTAAGCCCCTCTCTAATTGTACGGACAATTTTTAAATGTTAATTGCCCACTGGGTGAGTGGGGAGGCTATTGGAGGAAACTACATATCTAAATACCTCCAATTTTACGTACACCTCTGTTTTACGTACTTGAGACCTAAATGTGCACGTGCAACCGAGAGTCGACTTCTTTTACTATTTTTGTTTTAATCACCTCTTTAAATAAAGCTATAAGATAAATGTTCGCAAATGTCGCCTGTCATCAAATGTCGCACAGCCTCATTATTTTCCCTAAAATTAAAGAAATTTCTTTTTTTAATTTAAGAAAATTTTTTTCATTCAAAAATAATTTTTTCTCCCACGCAATAACGCACACATTTTCTTCCTTTTTTATTTATTTTTTCCTTTATTTGTAGCATAAAATAAAAGTAGCTGTCAGTCAAAGTAAATAAGAATATTTTTTATTAAATTATTTTATTCTTTCTTGCTTCCGGAAAATTCATAACAAGAAAATACGTTTCCGGAAAGTTTTTCTTAAAAATAAAGTATAGCCTAACACTTAAGTTTGGTAGCCAATACCCTCACAAAACTTTATTTAATTATAAAACTGGGTGGGTGTTCGCAAATGTCGTTCTCTGGTAGGTGTTCGCAAATGTCGTCCTTTGGTGGGTGTACGCAAGTGTCGCACTTTGCTAGGTGTACGCAAATGTCGTTCTTTGGTAGGTGTTCGCAAGTGTCGTTTCTTGGTGGGTGTACGCATATGTCGTTTTTTGGTAGATGTTCGCAAATGTCGTTCTACGATCTTGTTTTTTCTCTTACTATTACTGTATTAATTTTCCAAAAAAAAGTTAATTTAATT